TTGGACTAGTCAGTAGTGGCTAGTGGTACATTTTTACCAATGTGATTTGAGATTTGCTTTCATTATGGGATTTTGCCTCTGCATTTTTATTAAGGATGCCATTTAAAGTTTAAAGATTATCAACAACTTAAAAAAAAATGGACTACTGACTACTTTACTCCAGCAATCATGGTGGTGGCTAATAAATTAGTCATTATAATAACATATGATATAGAATCTATAATAGAGTATAGAACCATAAAACTTATAACTAGATTGAGATTCTAAATTCTAAGCGAATGTGAATCACTAACTGGACAGATCAGTTTGCTTCCCTTCCAATATGTTAATTTTGCTAAACTAAACAACCAATAAACTCACTACTCAATAGACCTGCATAGCAAACATTCCTCTTTTCAAGTCGTATCCCCCCTCCTCCCCACCTCTCTCAACGGTAGATCTGGGTTGTTGACTTTTTTTTTTTTTTTTAAATAAGCAGTAGAAAAAAAAAACTGGCCTACTTTTTTCTTGTCTGCTGCAGAAAGGTCAAGACGATAAGAACTCTGGCTGGTTCGATGAAAATCAAATCTACCCCAGACTAAATATGACTGAATTCTTGTATGTATTAGGCGAACAACAATACTTAAAATCTTGCCAGCTACGTTGATCAATGCAATTTGCATGAGTGAGCAAGCATTAATGAAAAAATCGTATGAACTAGATTTATGATTATGAACGCTCCAGTTATTCTGTAAAAGGCCAGTCACAAAATAACTGGCCATTCAATGCTAAGGGCAAAGGGAAATATAATCAGGACAGTAGTAACTAAAATATTGTATTTTTGTAACTAACTATATTTAGATTAAATTAGTTTTAACAACTTACTGTGTGCATGCACGAGAGGTTAATAACAAATTCTAACGTTTCCACTTCAGCTCTGCATCTCACAAACGAAACATAAAATAAACCCTCGCTTTTATGCCCCACACTCAGCGATGTGGAAATTTTCCACTGAGTCACATATTCGTGGAGAGTAAAAAGCTAGCAGAAGCAACGCTCTGGCTAACTCTTTCTGATTGCGTTTTAGTTTAAAACGAGAGTAGCTGCCCTTGAAGGTTTACCTGTTCTGTTATAGAATGTTCTACCTCGAAAAATTGACCAAAGTTAATATTTGATGACTACTACACCTCATTCCATACTAGATCTATATTTTGTTAACATAGACCAACCATTATTTGTTGTTTTTTTTTAAATTATTTATATATTTCTAGATTTACTAATCTCATATTTTGTTAACATAGACCAACCATTATTTGTTGTTTTTTTTTAAAATTATTTATATATTTCTAGATTTACTAATCTCAACTTGTAGATCCTAAATAGCTAAACACAATAAACAGGCGAGGAGTAGACTAAATGCAGTCAACTTGGTTTATTTATCAAAGACACAGTAGAACCTACCTTTAACTCCAATGCAGTCCCTAATTTCATAATGACAAGGGCTATGGGTTGTAGGCTGAGGTGTGACGTCATTTTAAGGGGGGGGGGGGTCTGGCTTTTTGTGGTGATGTATGATGGAGGGGAGGTGGAGGTACATATGTCAAAAAAGGGTGACATCGTTTATGAATGACCCCTATACCATATGGCTATATAATGGCATATAGGCATGGCCTAAAACAATGCTTGAAGTAATATATTTTTTTACTAGTACCAACTTCCCTGACTTAGAATTTTTGTTTGATAAAATGAAGTAGATCAACAGATTTTAGAAGGAAGAAATTTAATAGAGCTTATTGTTAGTTAGCAAACAATTCAGTTTCTAAGAAAAATCCATATATTAATTTAAGAGAGATTGCCATGCCAAATGTTTGATAACATTGCTAAATGACGAGCCCACTTAAAAAAATAAAATGACTCAATTAATCTACAGAAACAAATAAGGCAAAAACATAACATTTAAAAAAATAAAATATTCAGAAACTCAAATGTATAGATATTTTTTATTTTTGTCACATACAGTTTTCACCATAAAAAAATCATCCATAGAATGATTAAAATTATTTATATTAAATTTATTTGCTTATAAGAAAAGCAGTAATAATATGTTATTAAAAAAACATTTCAACAGAGATAAAAGTAGATCACTTGAAAGCAAGAGTTATTTTTAATTAATTTAACCAAGACTAGGGAAGATAAAAATCACAAATATCACTGGGAATAAAAAAAAAAGGGAAATTTATTTACAGAGAAATAATTGTAAATAGTCCATTTTATTTTTTTGACACTGCAGATACTATTAAGCAGATAAGAAAGTAAATGTTTAAAACTTGGATTAAGTATATAAAGAAACAAAGCTGTTTATAATTATAAAAAGGTGAACACATACATTTTCACAGCAGTTTGGTTCACAGCATCTTGAAATGGTAAGCAAAAAATAACAAAGTAGAAAATTCTGATAAATACATTTTTAATAATTGCATCGTATCACAAGATGTACTTAAGAAATTAAGATCTAGATTTACATTTTTTTTTATTTTCACGCAAGAAATAAAAAAGAGACTGAAAATGTTAAAAATAACTGAATCTTTCAGGAAAATACCCTAAATGTATGTCGGTAGATTCTATTGTGTAAAGCATACATTTAAAATTATGAATTATCTTGCACTTCTACTTTCAAATACCATTCAAAACTTGGTTATGGTAATACCAGACAAAAAATAATTTAAACTTAAATGTACACAGCAAAAATTGATAGGTTATGTTGCTAAATGCAAGAATTTGTATTAAAACAACACACATCATAAGGAAAAAAAAAAAAACAGCAGGCAGTCTTAAGTCCAAATTTCGTTGTTTCTAATGTAGGAATGATGAAACTGATTTTGTGGAGGTCAAACGAAAAAATTAAGAGGCTAATAAAATATTTAAGTTGGCTAATAAATATAGATAACCAAGGTTAAATTACATAAAATAAAATGTACGTCAAGAGTACAAATTAAATAACTGAGATATGTTTGGCAATGTATTTTCTTAACAAACAAAGTATTCATATTTAAACCTTAGCCATTCTGAAGCACCAGTCTACATGGACAGGGAGATAATTCAATAAAAAAGCTTTGTGTACCCTGTAACAATATTTTCAACTAATTTCCTTTGATTAGAGAAAAAAGCAATTAAACATATATTTCAGCCCCTGCTATAGATATAAAAAAAAAGAATACACCCCAGGTAACTAAAACATTTAGCTTTGTACACTTGATTAAAAAAACAATTAGGCCCTAATGTACTAATTAATTTTTTTAAAAATCTATTATTAATTTAAGTATATATCAAAGGTTTCCTAAAATAATCTTTTCAATCCATTATAACAATAGGTTCTTTGCTCCTATTTTATTAATAAGTAAAAAGTTAAAACTTTAGGGGCTTGTGTTAATAAATTTGTATAAATAACTTGCATTCATATGTTATTTATACTTTAGGGTTAGAGAAGTATAACAAAAACTCTTGAATATAGTACACCATGAAGCTAATAGATTTTTTGTAAGCTATAAGTAGTTGCCAGATAAATAAAGTAAGTTATGGCCTAAGCTTTTAGTTGGTACATGGAAATTGTTTTAAATACTTGAATGTCAACAGAGAAACAGCAGCACATAAATTAACAATTATACAGAAATTAGCTGGAATGTATGATTTGTAATACAATTTTCTGAAGAAGTAAAATTAAAAAAAACTTTAACCAGCAAGTAATACAAATGTTTTCACAACAGATAATCTTAATTAGGATTTGCTATTCAAACTAATTTAGTTTACTTGAAAAAAAAAGTTAAAATATGTTCCATCTATCAGGAATTCAATTAGAAATTCACTGGGAACTTAAGATCATTAATGAAATGCTTTTGTCACAATAAAAACCCAATTTTTTTAGAGTGCTTAAAATTTTGAAACATTCAAATTAAGAAAAGCACATGAATGAATCATTTTATTTATACAAAAATAGTTACAGTTGTTAAAGTTAAAGCATTTGAGTTTAATGCAAAGCACATAGTACAAGGCCACTGTTAAATAGTTTGAACAAGCTTGGTGACAAACAAGAGGCAGCAAAAAGTCTTGTGACACTGCAACAGTTTTCATTAGTTTTCAAGATTAGATTCACACTCATACTTTTAACTTGTCAATAACTCAAGATTGCAACAGTTTTCATTAGTTTTCAAGATTAGATTCACACTCATACTTTTAACTTGTCAATAACTCAAGATTGAAAATGAAGTGAGATCAACCTCATTTCTTGTTTTACTCATTTAAAAAAAATGGAAATATACATTGCTTTGAGGAGTTGTTACATTAATTTAAAAAAATACACATGGTTAATTAGTTGAATGAAGACATTACAATTAAAAGGGTGTACATCTTTTAAAGTGTATTTCTAAAACAAAAAATTAAGAATGCTTAAGGTAAAGCAATTATTTAACCAGGATATGTGTGTGAATTTTAAATATCAGCAAGTACTAGCATATCACATGTTTTTAAGATGGGTCATTCAACTTTGAAAAAAAAATTATGTAAATTCAACATTATTAAAATTATCACCATCACTGGGATATGGGTATTGTTTTTTTTCTTCATACAAGCACCAAACATAAAACAGATCAACTCTACTTCATCTGCTTTGTTGGAAATCAGGTCTGTGAGAGTACAATATTTTATGCACACAGGACCATGAACTTTATAAAAGTTAAAATGAAAGCTGTTTATCAAATGAATTTTTTCCAAAAAAATAAAATAAATGTGATTATATTTAATACATTAAAATGTTCACAATTAATATTTTTAAGTCATTTTCAACAAACAATAAACATGAATGATACATGAATTCATGCTGGTAGTAGCCATTGAGCAATTTTCCTAGTCACACAAGTTTAAATATGTACTAGCATATTTAAATCTTTCGTATAATTAAGCTAAAAATATACCAGCTTTTTACCTCAAAATTTTTTTTCTATGCTTAAAAATAATATAAGAATAAAAGTGAAAATGTACTTGAAATACTTTGTATCGGTTATTATGAATGTCTGGGTTATATAGGAATTATGCAGGTATACTTAGAATATGTCCTCTAAAACTAATAATAAAGCTAATATAAAGCTAATCTGGTCAACAAGTATGAATCTGGGCAAAAATTAATTAGAAAGCAAAGAAAATTAAGACCTTATAAAAAGTGTACCTTGTGACTTGTGTATAGATATATCTAAATCAGCTTTTAAAAAATCTGGTAACAAATGCATATGTAAGTGGTAGTAAGTATAGAAAATGGGTCATAAATTAAAACACTTTTATCCTAAGCATAACTCAATTCTGGGGTTACGAATTTGTTAAAATTGTAGTTATTTTAAAGAGGCGTAAGGAAATTCATAAATTAAAAAAAAAATTATGCTAATATTATAGAACCCCTTATTATGATTACTATTCACAAAGTGAAAGTGGTAAACTTATTTGAAAAATAACAATGTAATTTATCACCTAGTGTGATACATTTATTGCAGATATTAACATCCATAAAAATATACACCACACAGCAGTAAACTCACATACAGCACAGCAATGAAATCAGTCAACACAAAACTATCCTCATAAATATTACTTCAAAGAAATAATCATCAGCTACCTTCCTGAAGATTGTGATATAATATAAATTAAATATTTTTTTTATTATTACAAGGAATGATATGGAGTATGTAGTCAACAAACCAAGGGAAGCCTAAGATAACACATTTTAGTTTCGGTAAACCAGATGGAAAACAACAAAGGTCCGCGTTAAGCTTAAAACTGCTTAGACGGCATTCAACAAAGGTACAGTGGTTATTAAAAGCCCAGCTTTTAATATTAAATTGGTTATTGTTTGTAAAATAAACAGGTTAGTTTAAGAAAATATTTTAAAGTCACTTCTAAATAAATTAAACAGTACCTGGTGGTTGATAGAACATTTTAAATTAAATGAAAGATGCTTTCTCCAGTTTCTGATACTGTCACATTGGTACTCCAACATCTTGGTTGTAAGAAACATTTACTTTTTATCACTGTGGACTTCAGGTCTTGAAGGTCGATTGAATTTCTTTTTTTTTTTTGTCGATTTATTATTGTCTTAAATATCTCAACGTCACTTTTGTTGAAAATAAATTTTGGACTTGAATCACAAAATCACTTTAATCTTTTCATCAAGTTGAAAGAAAAACTGAGCCAAAGATTGTTTACAAAAGTCAAGATCACAAAAATAATTTGAGTGATCGTTACAAGAAAAAAAAAACAACCAATCACGTCCAGAGGTACGTGGGAAGTAAAGCCTCTTTCTGTCCCACTTTAGGAGCCAGGTTCTCCTCATGTAAAAACCTCAGGGGTATCAGCACCAGGTAACCTTTGACCTTCTGCAACAACTTCCTGGCCTCTGCTTCATCAGTCTGTGCTAAGGGGGGAGAACTCTGATAATTTCTTAACTCCACAAAGTTTTTCACGCTGTCAGTGGGCAGGCAGTGAAAGACCTGGATAAAAGAAAAATATGTAAAAATGTGTTTTAGTTTAAATTATATAACTTAAAATTCCTCTCATAAGTTTTAGTTGTATATGACTCCTGAGAGTATGCAAAAAGCTCATTTTAATTTTTATTAGTATTAATAAATTACATGGTTAAATAGAATAATGAAGGGGAAGTAACTAGAGAGGATGCTGGTAATGGTCTTGTTTTTAAAATTAGAAAATTTAATTCCCCAATACACTATTTGTGTAGTGGCCAGACTTTATTAAGAATATGTGGCTAGCTAACACCCACTATCTCTTTACTTCCCTTGACTGATATCACATAACTTTGGTATGTGGGATTATGGGCTGATGCCATACTAATAACGATAGAAATAGGTTTGATAGGATCAAATCCTACAGAAATACAATCCAATATGTAACAATGTCTGACCCACTAGAAACCATGTGTCTATACTGTACAGAGATGCTAGCAGAACCTGACCTTGTCAAAGCAAGTTGTGTTGACTGCTGCACGCTTGACCCAGACATCTTTATAGAAACTGTCACTCGTGATGTCCGTCAGATCTACAAAGTCTGGGTCCTTGTGGATACCCAGATGTTCTCTGAAACGGAGATGATAGGTGTTAGGATTGTTACATATCAGTATTTACATAGATTTAGAGTCCCTTTTGTTTACATGTTTTCATTACCCTTCAAACTATAGTTATATTGAGATTAAAAATGTAAATAAATAGTACACAAGATTTTGAAACATATGAATGCAATTTTGTAGCATAGGAACGATTGGGTGGGAAGTGACATATAGCACATGAAACTTAGAGGTTAGGTAGGGTATAAAAGGTGGGGTTAGGAAAGTTTGGGGGTCCATTCTCTAATAGGCAGCCTAGGTCTCATATGTACTTTCAAGTAATAAAGAAGTAAATTATACACAGACTTCGTGTTGGTTTAAAGGGTTATACACGTATTCAACACGCATACATATGTCAGTTGTACAGGTACTCAACACACATCAGGAAATAAGGTCTACACATTTCAACATCCAAACTATGACAGCTTAAAATTTGATAGGACAATTACATCCAAATATATCAGGTAAACTTATTTTAACCAAAATACCTTTTGCTTATCATATTTATGTGACATAAAAGACCCAAAGTAATATAGTGAACATCAATAACAAAAAACTAATTCTACTTTAAATATAGTCTTTGTCACTTACAAAAGCCTCACCTAAATATATCTAAACTTTTTGACAAAAAACCCCACTAAAATATAGTTCAACTTACTAACTAAACCTATATCCAAATATAGTCCACCTTATTTACACATACAAAAAAAAAATCACCCAATAATAGTCAACTACTGGCACAAAAATCCCACTTAAATATAGTCTAACTACATAAATACAGTCCAAATTATGACAAAAAATCCCCACCTAAATATAGTCTAACTGCGTAAATACAGTCTAAATTATGACAAAAAATCCCACCTAAATATACTCTAACTACAAATTATGACAAAAAAACCCACCTAAATATAGACTAACTACAAATTATGACAAAAAATCCCACCTAAATATCGTCTAACTACAAATTATGACAAAAAAAACCCACCTAAATATAGTCTAACTACAAATTATGACAAAAAATCCCACCTAAATATCGTCTAACTACAAATTATGACAAAAAAAACCCACCTAAATATAGTCTAACTACAAATTATGACAAAAAATCCCACCTAAATATAGTCTAACTACAAATTATAACAAAAAAAAACCCACCTAAATATAGTATAACTACAAACTATGACAAAAAATCCCACCTAAATATCGTCTAACTACAAATTATGACAAAAAAAATCCCACCTAAATATTGTCCACCTCAGTGAAGACGCAAACTTCCCAGCTTGATATTTTTTCCCATTGACCGTGACGTCCACCTTTTGGACGTCCTCAAACATGACGGCTATCTCACTGTCTCGCGTGCCCAGCAGGCTGCGGTCATTGATGTTAGCTGACCCAATGATCACAGTGTTGTCGTCAACAATCATCAGCTTACTGTGCACATAAATCAGCTCCGTCATCTGGGAAATTAAAACAACCTGGTTAATTCATCATCATATTTTCACATTTGTGCCCAGGCAGATGAAGTAGAGCACATCTGTTTCAATGACCTCGGAAAATGTGGTCAGCACTAGCTCAGCTGCTTTTGTTTCCCTAATGTGAGTTAAGTACCCATCAGAGCTGGGTGGGCTCGGGGACGTTATTCATCTGCCACCAATATATTAAAAAAAGTAACTACTTTTTATACTATATACAAAAAGATTACAAACATTTATCATATATTTTACATTTGAGCTATAATATTGCATTTGCTAAAAATTAATTAGAGTTGATCAAAGAACTTAAGTAGCCTACATTCAATAAAGCAACAATAGTTTTGTGTCTCTCTAATGTCTCTACTAGAAAGCCTTCTAAGAGCAAGAAAATAAAGTTTAATTTCAGGGGAAAGAACTCCTGACTGACAATGAGCTGTGAAACATTTTATTGATTATTTACCTTTAAACAAAGGGAAGCAACTCACCAGCTTATTGTTCAAAGTGTCCCACGTCCTGAGACCACAAAAGACAATGTACTTGTTGGGGTCAGGGATATCCTTGGCCAGCCGCTGCATCAGAGAGTTGCCGCCCCTGCAGATGGAGGAGTAGTTCCAGTGGGTCACTGCCTGCAGGGCCACACCTGTGCTGGTCCCAAACTCACCTTCAAAGGCAGGTAACAGTGGCATCACCACATAGACTCGGAAGTTGCTGCCACTTCTGAGAAAGATGTGGAGAGTAAAGTCCCATTATAAGAAGTGATCCATGAATGAAGTTTTTACCTGCATCACATTTTTACCTCACCCACACAAAAAGCCAGACCCCTTCTCTCTCCCCCCCCCCCCTTCCAATTCTAAATTAACATAACACCTTAGTCTACCCCCTCAAAATAGAAGTTTCCGTTTTCTTTAAAAGCACTTTCTAAAATATTTACTGAGCATTTTTATCAAATTCAAAGAATAAAGTTATGGTCTCCGTTGAGTGAATTGATCAATTGTTAATAAAATTTACAACGTGAAATAACTGCAAAAATTCAGTTTCTATTATTACTTTTTAAGTACAAAAATAATGTCACACTTATTTAAAAATAAAGATCTTAGCAATTTTTATTGGTGAGCATTTAAAATAAACAATACGTTTGAAAACTTTTGTAAAAGTTAATATTTTGACAAAAACAAAAGTCAAAATTTGAAAACAATTTGAAAACAGATAAAATATGTCAAAAGTGTAACTCAGAAATAACATTTTTTAAAGAAACAGAAAATGATTTACCTGCTCTGTAGCAACACAATTTTAACACCCAAACCTGAGATCAATATCAACTGTTATCTATAAAGTTGATCATTGTTTAATCAATATAAAATTCTCCATACTAATATGGGAAGATCTATCCTCAAACTGACCTCAACTATAACAATAAGATAATGTATTGTTTCTTATGAAAAGTTTACAGGCCTTGACTTCCTGCCCCTGTGTCTTGCACCACATGGTTTGGCCATTAGGGGCAGTTCAGTCAGGAGAAAACCTATGTTCTCGAGCCTGGGTTTCAAACTCATGACTTTCAGGTTAGCAAGCGTGCGGTCTACCGCTAGACCACACCATCCCCTCAATACTTAGTATCATAAGGTTAGAGTGGAATAGCAGTATCCATCATGTTGTATACCCAGACCAATTGTGACAAAAGTACCAACCTATGTTCTCAAGCCTGGGTTTAGAACTCATGACTTTCAGGTTAACAAGCAAGCGGTCTACCACTAGACCATGTTGTCCCCTCAATACTTAGTATCATAAGGTTGAATATCCGTATCCGTCATATCTTATACCCAGACCAATCATAACAAAAGTACCAACCTATGAGCCCGAAGAATGCGCTTGTACAGAGCATTGCCTATACAGTTATTGACATGATTGTTCTGTCCCACCAGTGTGATAAAAAACTGATTCTGTTGACAAAGTTGGATCATATTAGTTTTAACTTAAGGATTAAATGAATCATTAAAACGACAATGCTTCTTAATATTAATTAAAGAAAGTTTTAAGTAATACAATATTATATAGTATCTTCATATTAAAAATGAAATTTTAAAATACTTTATAAATAATTTTTCACAAAAAACTTGCTTACTTCTATTTTAATATATCTTATATATTTTCAACCCTTGGTAAAAATCATCTTATAACTTATATAATGAACTTAAGGCTATATGCAAACCTACTTCTATGTATATATAATCCTTGGAATTTTCTATACAGTGTTCATATGCTGCCTGGATGGAGTCCTCTGGTTGACCTATACCAGCTGACCAGCCACAGCTGCTTCTTAATACCTGGAATGTGAGGGTCGAACAAATTGTTATGTTGGACAGGATTTCCTCCAACACAATTAAGTATTGTGTCAACATGTTATGCGCCAAATAGCCCGTTGACTCCGATTGCAGCCTGCTTTTGTTTTTGGATTTAGTTTCATAGCCTTTGTTCAACCAAGCACAAACTAGTTTGATTTTGGAGTATTTTCTCCTAGAGGGGTTGCTGCCCCCAGCTATCAAGCCTCATCTACCAAGCAGTTTGAACTCAGGACATTTTGGGTTAGCAACCAAGAGCTTAATCAACCATACCATGCACACTTCATTAACCCGTCCATTTTTACACATCTCATCTGCTACTTAATTACAAAACTGTACTTCTTTGATTGACAGAAGAGCAATACAGTACGAATGTTTTATTTTACAGCTATTGATGATTAGTTTAAGGATTTCCTGGAATGATATCTATGGGACCTGCTAGCAATCATCATGTCCCATTAGTGCTCAAGACACACAGGGCAGATGAAGTAGAGTTCATCTGCTTCAGAGACCTCTGGATAGCGTGGTCAGCACTATGCCAAGCCGTCTTTGTTTCTCTAATGTGAGTTAGATTTGAATCAGGATTCAAACTTGGACTCTCAAAATTAGCTGTCTCTACCGCTAGGCCACACTGTCCCATGCTATCAGTAATAGAAGGCTGATTTTAAACCAGCCTGTTTTAAACATTTTATAATCTCTAACTCTCATCCAGGTCATACAAACACAAGGTTTTATGTAAGCTTTCAAACAAGCTACAGTTACAAGTTTGAAGATCAAGGCAACACAAAATATCAATAAAAAACTTACTTGAGCTTTTACTTCAAATGTTATATCTTTGATTGAGGAAGGAATGTAATCTTTGGATGCTGTTTTTGGTATCAGTAGTGGAAAGTTTATATTTCTTTTGAACTTCTCCAGCTGTTTACAAGAAAGACAAACACAGTCAATCTTTAAAATGTTACACATGCATGATGTTTTTTTTTTTAAATGCAGTCTACAGTATGTAATTATTTATAATAAATGATGAGACCAACATAGAATTTGTTTAACAAAACATTATTACAACCTAGAAATGCCTTGGATTTTGGATGTGATTACATTGCAGCAGTAGTTGTGTGGGACGGAGTGGTCTAGCGGTAGAGAGCTGGACTGCTAACCCGTAAGTCTCGAGTTCGAATCTGGGTTCAAGCCAGTAGACCGTCCCTGAGTCCACCCAACTCTGATGGGTACCTAACTTACGTTAGGGAAAGTAAAGGCGGCTGGGCATAGTGCTGACCACACTATCTCTTCATATGCCGAGGTCACAGAAACAAGTGGACTCTACTTCACTTGCCCCATAGACCGTCAGGTTTGAAAGGGAAACTTTACTTTACTTTAGTTTGTAAAATATTTCTGTTCATCAGACATATTTAATATTCCATAATAATTTTTAATTAAAGTGGCATGACACGTTCAACAAAACCCTATTAATTACCTTGGTGAAATTCCACCTGCCGATAAAATGCCTGGCCAGATCACGCGCTGATTTCCCATAGACAACACAACCAATGTCATGCCAAGGCATCCTGGGATACTGGGTGCGGTCAATAAAATCTAGGGAAAGATAAAATAGTAGGTCAGTAAAATCTAGGGAAAGATAAAATAGTAGGTCAGTAAAATCTAGGGAAAGATAAAATAGTAGGTCAGTAAAATCTAGGGAAAGATAAAATAGTAGGTCAGTAAAATCTAGGGAAAGATAAAATAGTAGATCAGTAAAATCTAGGGAAAGATAAAATAGTAGGTCAGTAAAATCTAGGGAAAGATAACAAAGCGGGTAAAAAAATCTAGGGAAAATTTTTGAAGATATTGTATGATTTTTAAACAATTTGTCTGATACTTCAAATATATTTTAATACAAGAGTATAAACTGATTGAAAATTGTAATGATGTCAAGCAAATTATGCAAGTGCCATATGCTTAGTGTTACAATGTGTAATATCTTTTGTTTCTTAATTCTAATGCTAACATTGTCTAATTACGTTTGTATTCAACTTTTTAATAACGTTATGCATTGAATAAGAGAGATTTAACCTTCAAAAGGCTGGTGCAAGTTTTGAAAATCCCTGTAGATAAAGTTGACATAATCCTTGCCAATCCACAACCTAGCAGAGCCGAGCAGCCCCCTCTCCAAAATGTCCTCCTCGCTCTCCGTGTGGTACATGCCCCGCGGGACGTTCAAATTGCTGCCCTCCTGTTTCATCTCCTCTATGCTGTCTCTCCTGCCCTGCCTTTTTAACTTGTCCACACCTTCTTTGAAAGTTCTGACCTAATGGGGGGCAAACAAATTGTTAGAACAAAGGGGTTTACTTAGCAGTGATGTGGTCTAATAACTTCTTCTTCGTTCTTAATTTTAGTGTTGGAAGGGATCCTCTCCAACACAATTAAGTATACATGTCAACTGGTTATGTGCCATTGAGGCCATTGACAGTAGTGATATGGTCTTATAGTTGAATCAGTTAACTATAGGGTCAGTGCTTAAAAGCTACACTTAACAGCAGTGATGTGGTCTAATAACTGCTTCTTCGTTCTTAATTTTAGTGTTAGAAGGGATCCTCTCCAACACAATTAAGTATACGTGTCAACTGGTTATGTGCCATTGAGGCCATTGACAGTAGTGATATGGTCTTATAGTTGAATCAGTTAACTATAGGGTCAGTGCTTAAAAGCTACACTTAACAGTAGTGATGTGGTCTAATAACTGCTTCTTCTTCTTAATTTTAGTGTTAGAAGGGATCACCTTCAGCACAATTAAGTATACATGTCAACTGGTTATGTGCCATTGAGGCCATTGACAGTAGTGATATGGTCTTATAGTTGAATCAGTTAACTATAGGGTCAGTGCTTAAAAGCTACACTTAACAGTAGTGATGTGGTCTAATAACTGCTTCTTCTTCTTAATTTTAGTGTTAGAAGGGATCACCTTCAGCACAATTAAGTATACATGTCAACTGGTTATGTGCCATTGAGGCCAATGACTAAGATTTCAGCCTGCTTTTCTTCGGCCTTTCCTGTCTCCAGCTAACAAGCCTCATCTGCCCGAGGTCTAATAATTGAATCAGTAAACTATAGGGCTTGTGTTTAACGGCTATGCTTAACAGCAGTGATGTATAATAATTGAATCAGTAAACTAAAGAGTTAGTGTTAAATTAAAGGCTATAATAATATAAATTTAACAGCAGTGATGTGGTCTAATAACTGAATCAGTTAACTATAGGGTTAGCGTATTAGTTAAATAAATTAATGGCTCCCTAGTCTGATAGAGGATTGGACTGATGTCGCTCATGTATCAGGCCCCCTCTCTCTCCACATCTGATGTACCCCAGGGAGAGGCTTTAACTTTACCCATACAAATTGGCATTAGCTGTGTGGCAGGAGCTACCAAAAGGAAACATGAGTTGGTAATCCTGTCACCACTCCAGTTACATTGTGGAGTTTTCTATCCTAGATGGATTGCTGTCTCCATCTAACAAGTCTCATTTGCCCAGGGGTTTGATCTAAAGAGTTTTCTCGGTCCAACCACCCTGACCCTCAAATAGGGTAGTGTATTGGGTAATGTACAAGTATTTATATCAGACACGTATATTAGATCTTTAGTGCATGGGAAAGAGTATTAGTAATGTATGGGGTAATGCACGGGTAATTGTATAAGTTAATTACAGTGTTACTTTTATAAATGTACTTAAAAGCCAGGAAATGTGAACAAAAGGAAAACCAATATAAACTAAACATGTATTAAAACGTAACCTAAGCTACACCAAACAAACTTACTAATCTTTTCCTTGTAGTAGGATGTTTGATATTCTGGTTGTAGAACAGACTCTCATCAATCCTCTCTGGGACCTGCGGCGTGCGTACAATTGTTTCAAACTTGGTCACGTTGAAGATCATCCTCCACCTCCGCCGGGCGGCGCTGGCTTTGTCCTCGTTGGACCTGACTGAGACGTTGTCCTCTTCATTGTTGTTCTGCTCCTTGCGCTGCATCATCTTCCTCAGGGCGTTGACGGCGCTCACTGTGTTGGAGAAGCTGAAGGCACTGTTGGAGATTCCTGAAGTTCCAGGCGCGTCTTTAGCAGTAGTTTCTCCTGCCTGCTGTCCTGGTTTGTCAGGAACTATGAGATCAGCCGTACCTGAGGAGTCACTGTTGGCACGGACTTTCGGCTCCTCCTCTGCGGTTAATTTACTTTTATCTTTTTTTAAACCTGGCGATTTCCCGTTTTTTAGTTTATTGCCGGCGCTACTTTCGGAGGCACCATTTTCAGAAATTTCTCCTACAGAAGTTTTTTGGAATGTTTCTTTCCTGTTTGGGATGACCAGTTCTAAGCTCTTATTCTTAGAGCGTCTCTTCCACAAATGTGAAGCCTTGACCCCTGAACTGGCTGTTGACTGTTTTCTTTCCTCACTTTTTTCTCTCCTTTTTGAAGATGGGGATTGCTTTGGACTTTTCGTCCCATTCCTGTTTGGGGACAAAGAGTGTGGCCTGTTCTTGCCCTTCCTCCCAGCTGTTGGCGATCTGGACGAATGTTTATTTTTCATGAGATTTTTTGGAATGTCGTCAGCCTCGGCGCAGCATATGATTTCCTTGTCGACCAAAGTGTGATAGGTCAAGGCCCCGGGGTCGTTGGGTACTTTTAAACTTAGCTCGCTGCTTGGCCGGGAATGCTCAAAGTAGCTGTCATTGTAAATGTCTTTGAAAGGTTGCATAGACTGGTTGATTTCCTCCAGTGTGGTGGCGTTGAGACCCTCCACGTCAACCACCGAGGACTGCTGCCGCAGGAGGGGGCGGCTGCCTGCTGCCCCGGGGGCGTCGCCATCCTCCCCAGTGTTCACATACTTGAAGTTAATACTGGACTGACACGCCTCCATGCAGGAGCTGTTGGACGTGTTCGCAGAACTGTTGCTGTACCTAGACGCTAGGTCCCCATCACTATCATTGTTTTCTTCATCACTGGCATCGGTTACCATGACAACGACATTGGCATCAATCGGCTCGTGGCGTTTATCAGGTTTGGGGCTAAGTTTACCTGATTCCACGGGTGACTTTGAGCCCCCTGCAGGCGATTGGACTGCTGGTTGGTGGACCTGGTACCGGACACCCAGGTTGTGTCTGTGTTGTTTGCTGCCTCTAAAAGCAGGAGAGTCAGGAAGTTTAGCAGGGCTTGCTTCTGATGTATTGTCCTCACTGTCATCTGTCAGCTGCACAATGAAAGATACAGTGCAGTGGATTACCCAAACATGGTGTCAGAAGAGATAAGCATGTTAAAAAGCATTGAATCAATGTAAATATTTATCAATCATGTAAAAAGCATTGAATCAATGTAAATTTTTATCATTCATGAGTGTCTTAATAAAAATATATTTTAATTTCAGTGTTCTAAGAAATCAAAGATGTCAAGTTAAGTATTAACTTCAAGCATGTCAAGAATATATCAGGTTGAATATTAACTTACAGTGCGCTAAAAAAATGTCAATTATCCAATAATTGTATCAAATGAGATAACCAAGTTACACAGCAATTGATCAATATAAATATTTATCAATCAAAAGCATCTTAACTAAGTTAAAAATTAACTTTCAGTTTCTAAGAAAATAAAAATGTCAATTTGAGTATTTTTTTAAACTCAGGGTGTCAAGAATATATCAACTTGTATATTAACTCACAGTGCAATAAGACAATGTCAATTTTAATTTACTTGAAGTGTGCTAAGAAAATAAAAATTGTCAAGTTGAATATTAACTTGAAGTGTGTTTAGAAAATGTCAAATGTTAACTTTCAGTATGCCAGGAAAATGTCAAATTAAATATTAACTTAATGTCTACTAGGAAAATTAAAATGGAAAGTTCTAAATTATTTCACCTGTTTTGTAAGAAACTGTCCAGCAAAATGTTTAATATTAACTAAGCGTGACTGGAACAAATTAAGTCAAATATCCTAAACAATGAATTTAACTTGACTACAGACCACGTATTGAGTGTTTGGTTTTTATGGTAAAAATACTATAGAATATGATGCATTTAAATAATGTGTCCATCTAAAAATCAATTTAAAGTAGAGTACTGTCTAAACACTATGGTATAATTTTATATTGTTATGTATTTTTTTAATTGAGTATCATTAGCCATTCTACCAGTCAGTACTGTATTTGTATTCATTTCACAAATATGGTAAAAGACTGATTGAAATAATGATCAATGGCTAATTAATTAGCACACAGTAGGTGTCAGTCATGAAGATTTTTATTTCCCACAGAGTGTAGATTACCACAGAGACTTCCGTGTTGCTGGAGTTGATAAAGTTGTTTGAAGCGTTGTGACCATTTCCGTTTTTTGGCATTAGACTGATGGACCCAAGGTCTGTCATCCTAGAAGGGAAAAAATCATGAAATTACAGCCAAAATTTAGGAAGTTATTTCTTAAAACTGTTCCAGGGTTGAACGTAATCATATTTTTTGCTAAAAGTCAGTAGTCTGCATCGTATAAGGCTAATTCTGTTAAGATGCTAATCATGCTTAATTTACATTTAAAAAATTGGTAACATAAGACATTCAATTCCATACAGGTGTTTGAAAACACATTAAAAGATCTTTAAAAAATAAAAATAATCAATCACATTTTAAGTTTTTATACCAAACCCATGTTTTGAAACTTCACTTTTCAATTTTTATTTTTCTAAATTCAAAATATAAATTTTAATTGATTTTTTTAAATTTGAAAAAAAAATTTAAAACTACAATGGTGTTGATCTTTGTCCTATACAAAACCCTACCTGTGATACTCATCATCCCATCTCCCATAGCACAAGTCTAAACCACCTGTGAAGGCCACCTGTTGGTCAATGATGACCAGCTTTTCATGATGGGCCCACAGCAAGACACCTTTGCCTGGGATGTGATCTGGATGTCTCAATACCTGCCAATTAAATTAATTAAATGCCATTTAACTCATCTCAATACCAGCCAATTTTTTAAATTAAATGCCATTTAACTCATCTCAATATCTGTCAATGAAATTAACTAAATGCCAACCTCAATACATGCCAGTACAATTCATAACCTCATTATCTACCGATAAAATGTATTACAGCACAGTGCCAGATAGCTTTTTTTAAACTCTTTGGTGCCATGATGTGTTTTGTAACTCACATCAATGACAAGTTTACACACCACATTTCAAATGTTGGAAATAATAAAAAAACAAAACAGAAGGTCAATGAACTAAAAATAAACCGGGAGTGATCTCCCCTAAACTTTCTCGAATATTCTTATATAAAATAACAGGGGATGGGAACTCGGGCTATAGACATGATTTTTAATCCATTTTAAATACTTAAAGTTTTAAAAATGGAATAAAATCTCGTAGACAAATTAATTGCACACCAAGTGAACGCCAAATAAAAAAGCGCATAATAGTGCGCAATATTATTAGTACTTCTAAAATTTACATTAGTTTTTTGAGAAATCAAAAGTAGCGTAAATTACTACTTCCAGTCAACGGAAATTACTCAAAATTTAACAGAAGGTAGAGAATTAGATCTTTTACTTACATGTGAAATTTCATGTATCTATCTGAAATAGTACTCAAGTTATAGGCTTTTGAAAAATTCAAAGTAGGAAAAGTACCACTTCCGGTTATCGAAAATCGCTCAAAAGTTGATACGGATCTACGATTTTGATAAAATACTTATATATGAAATTTCATCAACCTAGCTGTAACGGTACTCAAGTAATCGTGTTTACACACGGACACACAGACACACACACACACAGACATACGGACAAGATTGCAAAATTATGTTTTTCCCTATCAGTGAGGTGTAAAACGTCGAGATTTGTAAAAATCTCGATTTTTTTTTGCACGATTACAATAGGGCCTACTTTCTCTATACTTCGTATATACGAGAAAGTAAAAAACACACATCTAGTGTTGCCACTCTGGCTCAGCAGCCAACACTCAAACTATAGATGACATTTTGTAAAAGGCCACAAATAAATTTCACAGAACAGAGAGGAAACCCTGGATAAAACAGTGTCTAATATATTTAAGCAGCTGTGTTATGACCACAGGGACCTGATGAATTTTACACTCAAACTATAGCTAACATTGTAAAGTACCACAATTGAATTTCAGAAATAATGGAGGCAGGAGAGGAAACCCTGGATAAAACAGTGGCTAATATATTCAGGTAGCTGTGTTATGACCACAGGTACCAGCTCTCTGCATGCTATAGCTGACATTTTGTAAAGTTTCACAAATAAATTTCACAGAACAGAGAGGAACCCCTGGTTAAAACAGTGCCTAATATATTTAAGCAGCTGTGTTATGACCACAGGGACCAGATGAATTTTACACTCAAACTATAGCTAACATTGTAAAGTACCACAAATGAATTTAACAGAACAGAGAGGAACCCCTGGATAAAACAGTGGCTAATATACTCAGGTAGCTGTGTTATGACCAAAGGGACCAGCTCTATGCTGGCATCATCCTGGCAGGCTGGGACAGACATGGAGGGAGGACAGATGTACTCTATCCCTATTGGTGGATTATTATATCAAATGCCATTCACCAATTGGAGGTTCAGGCAGTACGTATCTCTATGGTTACGTTGATGATGGGAGGGAGGACAGCTGTACTCTATCCCTAATGGTGGATTGCTATTTTGAATGCCATTCACCAGTGGAGGTTCAGGCAGTACATATATCTATGGTTACGTTGATGCTAACTTCAAACCAAAACTCAAGAATGCCATTCACCAATTGGAGGTTCAGGCAGTACATATCTCTATGGTTACGTTGATGCTAACTTCAAACCAAAACTCAACAAGGAAGATGCATTAAAATGTGTTGCCAATTCTGTGACCCTGGCCACCAACAGAGACGGTTCACAGTGGTGGCCTCTGAATTGCACCCCAAGTGAACAGCAAACAATAGTACTTTATAAAGTCATATGCATTTTTTGAGAAATCAGAAATAGCATTAATTACTACTTTCGGTTACAGAAAATTACTCTAAATTTGACAGAAGGCAGAGAATTGGATCTTTTACTAATATGGGAAATTTCATGGGTTTATCAGAAACAGTACTCGTGATAGGCTTTTGAAAAAAAAACGAAAGTAGAATAAGTTCCACTTCCAGTTACCAGAAATGGCTGGAAAGATGATACAGAACTACAAATTTGATATAATAGATACTTAAATGAAATTTCATCAACCTAGCTTTAACAGTACTCAAGTTATCGTGTTCACAGACAGACACACACACAGACAAGATTGCAAAATTAAGTTGTTCCGAATCAGGGAGGTCTAAAAAGTCGAGTCAGGAAGGTCTAAAATGACAAGATTTGAGAAAATCATGATTTTGACTTTTTGCTTGATTACAATACCTTCTCTAAACTCCCAATGATGACTAGAGTTGACTAGAATTTTCTCCCGATTAACTGGGTTGACATAAAGACACACCACTCTAAATAAATACACATTGAGCAATTGCCTTGGCAAGCTAGTTCATTGACAGTGCCAGATAGCATTATTATAAAAACTTTTATAGTGAATTTAATGGAGGGGAAAATAGGTATTTGAAAGTTCAGAAGTATTCTACTTTTCATAAAATATAGCTAGTTGCTAATAAGAAATAAAATGGGGGGAAAGCTGCACATATGATGTTTATTTTTATTCAGATTCTGAAACTTGGCCTATTAAAACTTGTATTTTTCTTACCTGGCTACTGAATACTTTTTGTTTTAATATAATCATTTATAAAATTACTTCCAAAGTAAAAAAAAATTTACCACCAGAGGGTTGTTAACTTTTAACAAAGTTCCCTCCCTTGATTTTTCTAGCTTCTAGTGATCTTAATGCTGGGTTGAGGATTGGCCAGTTTGTTGCAGATTTTAACCATGGTGTTAAGGCTAATGATGTTAAGGCTAATGATGTTAAGGCTAATGATGTTAAGGCTAATGATGTTAAGGCTAATGATGTTAAGGCTAATGATGTTAAGGCTAATGATGTTAAGGCTAATGATGTTAAGGCTAATGATGTTAAGGCTAATTATGTTAAGGCTAATGATGTTAAGGCTAATGATGTTAAGGCTAATGATGTTAAGGCTAATGATGTTAAGGCTAATGATGTTAAGGCTAATGATGTTAAGGCTAATGATGTTAAGGCTAATGATGTTAAGGCTAATGATGTTAAGGCTAATGATGTTAAGGCTAATGATGTTAAGGCTAATGATGTTAAGGCTAATGATGTTAAGGTTAATGACAGGAAGAGCTTTCAGGGATGACATGGTCTAATGCTAGAGTTTTCTAATGCTAGCCCAAAGGTCTTGAGTTCAGATCCTGGGCTCAAGTCCACACAGCTCTGATGAATGCCTGACTCAGGGAAAGTAAAGGCAACTGGGCATAGTGCTGACCCTATTATCCCTTTATATGCCGAGGACACAAAACAGGTGAAATCTATCTCACCTGTTCTATGGACAAGAAGGTTCAAAGGGTATTTTACTTTTTGTTTTTTTACAATACACAAAGCTCGATTGTCATTTACGTATATATGCTGATAGTACCTATTGTAACCATTTAGTCAACATATCACTTCAATCACGTCCAGCAAAATAAAATGACCAACCTTAATATTTTCTGGACACTGAGACACAAGTGTCTGTTTACTGTAACTACTCTTGATGTCCAGCATGATAAAATGACCAACCTTAATATTTTCTGGACACTGAGACACAAGTGTCTGTTTACTGTAACTACTCTTGATGTCCAGCATAATAAAATGACCAACCTTAATATTTTCTGGACACTGAGACACAAGTGTCTGTTTACTGTAACTACTCTTGATGGTCAGCATAATAAAATGACCAACCTTAATATTTTCTGGACACTGAGACACAAGTGTCTGTTTACTGTAGCTACTCTTGACGTCCAGCATAATAAAATGACCAACCTTAATATTTTCCGGACACTGAGACACAAGTGTCTGTTTACTGTAACTACTCTTGATGTCCAGCATAATAAAATGACCAACCTTAATATTTTCTGGACACTGAGACACAAGTGTCTGTTTACTGTAACTACTCTTGATGGTCAGCGCTGCCTCGATTTCTTTATACAGCAGCACAAACACTTTCACACCCTCTTCCTGGAAAACATTTCAGTCAAAAGTTTTCTAGAGTAACAGTGATAATAACAAAATACAGGTAGTATTAGTGTTACGATGTGTGTTACACTAGCAGCATTTTTAATTTCCTTTTTTTCACTAGCTATGTTTTTTTTTGGCTTTCTTCTTCTTCTTCATTCTTTTTTTTTTAGTGTTGGAAGGGATCGAGCCTTATCTGTCAGAGGGTTTGAACTCTTTTTTGGCTCAGTGGTGGTATTATTTCCAAGCAGTGGTTCTTAACATTTAGGTGGGACCGAACCTCAACAGTTTATATTTACATTCACCTAACCCTTCTTAATAGTTCTATTGTCCGCACTGACAAAATCTGATCGTGAATCATATGAGTTGGATGTATGTCTTGACCTCCACCGAACTCCTGAGACTGACTTACTGAACACTAGAGGTTTGATCTAAAAACCCAGGTTAAGAACCACTGATCTAAAGTATCCCTAAAGTATCCCTAAAGTATCCCTAAAGTATCCCTAAAGTATCCCTAAATGAACTTACTGCCTTCCTCTTGAGTACGACATCAAGTCTCCATTTGTCACCATCCACAATTGGTCTCTTCAAGTAAATTTCTGGACTCAGCCTGTTCAAAATACACAAACACTTGTACACACAATATTGTGAAAACACATCCACATTCTTATTTCATCCGTACTACTCTTAATCTATTACAATAGGGCTAGTAAGTAGGTCATCAACCAGTTCTACGGCTCAATAGAACTGGTTGGTGACCTACTTACCAGCCCTATAACCCATCTACCAGTTTTAAGTTGTAACACTTTTATAAACAGCTATTCAAAGAGATGCTAAATTAGATGACAAAATCAGATCAGTATTCACTGTGAGAATGCACACAAATTTTTGTTTACAAAAATATTTTCTATCTAAAAATTCTATAATTATATTAATTTAACACAAATATAAAATATTTGCAGTAGAATAAAAAAAAAAGAAATCAAATACATTTTAGTAATTCAAGTGTGAAATAAAATGAAACTTTATTTTACTAAGCTTCAACAGCAGGTACTGTGTTCTTTGTGTTTGTAGGTTATCAGTAAAAAGATTTAAAAAAAAAAACAGAAGAACAATACAAACTTTAAAAATTATAAAGAAAAGAAGGATTACAAAATCTAGAAAAAATTTTGAGCACGGAGATGGCCACCATCACTATGGCAATGGCATGAAATTCTCAGCCATTTTTTTTTTTTTAGACTTAACTCATTGAGTCATAACTATATACTAAATATTATAGCATTAGGTTGAGAAAAAAATATTTTAGTTATATTAGTTTTCATCACCCCAAAATACTCTTAACATGGTGGCAATTCAGGTAATGCAAATATTATAACTGGTTTTTCTTCAGTTTTGGTTTCAAGTTTTTATGAACTAAACAGTTTTGAAGTGACTGGGGAGGTTATAATTCTGGAATCCATTAATATCCTGTCACAAAACAATTTGTACTGATGCTTCATGATCCTCTTTTCTCCTTGTGGAGCATAGGGCCTCAGCCCCACCCTTCAATTTTGTCGTCCCCAGATGCCTCATGCTACATCAATACAGAGCTCAAACTGGCAGCCAGACAGACTGCGACAAAACAGAGAACATAACAAACAACAACACCATAACAAACAACAACACCAACAAACAACAAAACCAACAAACAACACCACCAACAAACAACACCACCAACAAACAACACCACCAACAAACAACACCACCAACAAACAACACCACCAACAACAACACCACCAACAAACAACACCAACAACAAACAACACCAAACAACACCACCAACAAACAACACCACCAACAAACAACAACACCAACAAACAACAACACCAACAAACAGCAACAACAACAAACACCAACAAACAGCAACACCAACAAACAACAACTGCAACAAACAACAACACCACCACCAACACCAACAAACAACAACACCAACAAACAACACCACCAGCAACCCACCACCAGTCTGTGATGTAGATTTCCTCCTTGGCTTTCTCCAGGGCATCAGCAACAGCCTCAAAGTAGCTCCTCCCATCAACAAACCTTGGTAAGAAAAGTTAACATAAAGCAAAAAGAAAAACTTAAAGGTTTTATATAAGTAAAATTCTTAGCTGGCAACACAGATGGCTTATAACATGTTATTTAATATAATATAGTGCCTTAATGAACATCAGGTATGTGAACCACCTTACCAACTAGTATAAGAAATAGTCTAAAAAATGGGTGTCAGCTGACATATAAAGTAAACCTGATAAAATCTTAGCTCCACTTACCCCTGGCATATGAAATAACCCTCAATCCCACAAATCTACATAGCAGATGAAATAACCCCAAAATTGATTTACCACCTGGCATATGAAATAACCCCAAAATTAACTTACAACCTGGCATATGAAATAACCCCAAAATTAACTTACAACCTGGCATATGAAATAACCCCAAAATTAACTTACCACCTGGCATAAGTAGACTCCCTGGCAGGAGCAAAAGAACTAAACCTATTGTGTTCAATGTAGTCTGTTGCTAGTCTTTTGGCTGTGTCTTCTATTTCCCTGGCCCATTCCTTGGCTTTACGTGTTGTCCAACACTTGATCAGCAGCTTTCTAGAGAAAAACACACACACAAGCATTTTTTTAATTACCTAGCCGTCCAAAATTTTATCAGCAGCTTTCTAGGTTTAAATACCTACAAGCATTTCTTTAATTACCTAGCTGTCCAACATTTTATCATCAATTTTAAATACTATGTTACACATATCTTAAATGACCTTATATTTTCAAGTAATAAAAAAGAACAAGTATCTTTTGGTATGTTTTCATACTAAGAGTATATGGGGCCGGTGATGTAGAGTTAATCTATTTCTATACCCTTGGCAGATTAAGGGATTGTGTGGTCAGCACCATCCCTAGCTGCTTTTACTGAACAAACAATGCCTTGCTTATATTCTCTATGAGTACACAATATGAGTAGGCTACCTGACAAAGAATGGCTCACCTGCTTATATTCTCTATGATCACAACAATACAAGTACCTCACAAAGAATGACTCGCCTGCTTATATTCTCTGTGATCACAACAATACAAGTACCTCACAAAGAACACTAACCTGCTTACTCTATCACTTCAACAATACAAGTACCTCACAAAGAATGGTTCACCTGCTTATATTCTCTATGATCACAACAATACAAGTAACTCACAAAGAATAGATCACCTGCTTATATTCTCTATGAGCACACAATATGAGTAGGCTACCTCACAAAGAATGACTCACCTGCTTATGTTCTCAATGATCACAACAATACAAGTACCTCACAAAGAATGACTCACCTGCTTATATTCTCTATGATCAAAACAATACAAGTACCTCACAAAGAATGACTCACCTGCTTATATTCTCTATGATCAAAACAATTACAAGTACCTCACAAAGAATGACTCACCTGCTTATGTTCTCAATGAGCACAACAATACAAGTACCTCACAAAGAATGACTCACCTGCTTATGTTCTCTATGACTACAACAATACTAGTACCTCACAAAGAATAGCTCACCTGCTTATATTCTCAATGAGCACACCATGTTTGGCCCCTGTGTTAGAGAGGCCATGTTTGACTGAGAAGGCCGAGTCCATCAGCAGGACATCACTGATATGGCCATCCTCTGGCCTCACGTACAGGATAAAATTATCTTTCACAACCAGCCACCTGGAACAGGGAAGGAGGATATTAATTTTTTTTTAATTATCTTTTTTTCATTTTTTGATGAAGACACATGGGGCAGTTGAAGTAGAGTTAATCTGTTTCTTTGAACCTGGACAAGCTGGAGGTAGCATGGTCCGCACTATGCCCAACCACCTTCGTTTCCCTAACTTGAGTCATGTATTTATCAGAGCTGGGTGAACTCAGTGTCATACTAAAGACTCAAGCCTGGAAACTTAAGACTTTCATTTAAAAATTTAAACATAATAAAACCAGTACTTGCTCACATATTGCACATTGATAGTTTATAATACTAAAGTCCCTTCTGTTCTTCCATAGCAAAATCTATACAGTAACCTGATTACCTTTTATTATTTCACATTTCATTCTTTATAATTCAAAAAGAAAATATTACATGTCTGATCTACCATAGAAAAGAATTCTATACAGTAACCCCCATTGTTTTTATTATGTCACATTTGGTTCTAAATTAAGATAAAAAAAATTCTATGCCATAATCCTACAATTGTACTTTGTTAATACATTTTGGCCTATTGTTTACATTGCTATTAAATTAGGAAAAGTTTCATGCCTTGCATACCATAGAAAAATATTCTATGGAATAACTACCAACGCATTTTGTTTTCTTATACAAAATTGTTATTGTTATAAAATTAGGAAAAGGTGTAAGTCTGGTCTACCATACAAAAAACATTAATAGACTAATCAGTCCCCATTTACATTTTTATCTTAAAATAACTTTCTCAATGTTATTATTAAATTAATAAAAATTTGCATGTCTGATCTGTCATACAAAAAATTTCAATATAATAATAAGTCACCATTGTCTTTTCTTATTTCGTGTATCTTTCTCAATGTTATTATTAAATTAGGAAATATTTGCATGTCTGACTTACCCCCTACCATACAAAAAATCTTAATAGAATAACAAGTCACCAATGTCTTTTCTTATTTCACATATCTTACCCAATGTTATTATTAAATTAGGAAAATTAGCATGATTGACTAGCTGCCAAAACAAACAAAAAAGAAAACAAAACATAAACACCCAGACCTCTAGAGGCAAACAAATTTGAATACACAACTGAGCTGGTCTGATAAAGCCTGCAGTGTGTTGTTATGAAGGAAATGATTAAATCATTAAAAAATTGCATGGCTTGGTTTAGAGAAGAATTAACAAAACAATTTTTTATTCCTACCCCAAGCTAAATTGGATTACTAGCAGTGAAAGGAAAATAAAAATCACTTAGTTGTGGATATTGAATTGATAATACAATTTACAGGTTTACCAGCACAATTAAATTACTCTTGGCTTAGCCAGGTCACTAAGGTTCCGGACATTGAAGGGAGGAGGTTTACTGACCTTATATAAATTAACTTCTAATTAATATTGTATCAATTAAATCAACACAAAATGAACTTTATGAAAATAATTGAAAGAAAATTTTAAAAATATGTTTTAATAACAAACTTTTATATAATTATGCAATAATAAAAAATAATAATGTGTTATTATTTAAATAACTATAAAGAAAAGAGACATGACACTGACTGACATAACTAGCCCTGTATATTGACACCGACTGACATAACTAGCATTGTTTTTTGACACTAACTGACATGACACTGGCAAATGTAATTAGCTCTATACCACGACACTGACAGATCAAGCTAGCCCTATGATACAGAATCAAGTGACTAGCCCTGTGTACTGTCACTGAATGACATGACACTGACAAATGTAATCAGCTCTATAACATGACACTTACAGATCAAGCTAGCCCTATGACACAGAATCAAGTTACTAGCCCTGTATACTGTCACTGAATGACATGACACTGACAAATGTAACTAGCTCTATACCACGACACAAACAGATCAAGCTAGCCCTATGACACAGAAACAAGTGACTAGCCCTGTATACTGTCACTGAATGACATGACGCATGTTACTGGCCCTATATCTTGCCACTGACCGCTTGTTCCAAGTGCCAGCAAAGTGCACATTCCTAAGACAGCCGCAGCATTGTATATTGATCCTCCGACCCCCAGAACACTTCTCTATCAGCCCCTCCTTGGCCTTGATCCCTAACTTGTTCACAAATGATAAGTGGCTCACTTCAAAAAACTTGAGCTGTTCAGAGAAAGGACATTGTGGGTGATCTTGGTGGATTAAAACCACAAATATGATGTGGAATCAAATAGAAAATAAGAACTCTCTTACACATTAATGACCAATCTTTTAGTAACAAAGTAAGTTGGTTTTATTTTTCAGTGTTACACTACAAGCAACAGGTTACCTCCCTTTACTATTTCAAAGTTTTTTTTTTTTTTTTTTTTTTTAAAGTTTTTAAAAAATTTATGTTAAAATTTTGAGCTGGTAAATGTATTAAAACAAATTTAAACAGTTATGCATCTTAAATAAAAGACCATAAAATACATCCTAAGTGGTAAATTATATCTCTGAAATCGTTAATAACAAATTCTTAGACAAATTCTGTGTTTATATAGACATATATACACAAAACATGTAAATATTTCTTTGGACTATTCAAGATCATGCTAACCCTAGATAATTTCATGCAATGTACCAAAAATATTGAATAATAAATGACATTGAATGTAGGAATAGCATGTAAAATATCAATGGCTCTAAATAAAGTGTTTCTAATATACCATTAAAACTACAGCTCATGGACCAGATAATTAAACAATTGTGTGCACCATAAAACTTACAGTCTCAGGATGGTTTCTGTAAGACCTGCATGTCATCAAGTTCTCTAGATATTCTTTCAGGTGTTTCTGAAATTTAATAAAACGAAGGTGTTTTTGAAACTACAACCAGTATTGATGTTTCAGAAATTTGATAAAACAAAGGTGTTTCTGAAGTTAGAATCAGAGCGTATTCAAAATGTTGATAATTCTAAAATCAGAGAAAAATATCTTTAAATATCTTTTAAATCAGTAATTTAAAATACAAATGTGTGGCCTAGCAGTAGATTGCTAGACTGCTAACCCAAAAGTCTCATGTTCAAATCTCGGTTCAAATCAATAGAAACGTTCCTGAGTCTACCCAGCTCTGATGGGTGCCTAACTCAAGTTAGGGAAACAAAGGCGACTGGGCATAGTGCTGACCACTTTATCCCTTTGTATGCCCATGTCAATGAAATAGATGAGCTCTAGTCCATCAACCCCTTGTGTCTTGGGCACATATGGCAAAAGATGATGATGATTAGATAGGAAATAAATGACGATAAACAAACTGCATTTACATATGCCCATCATTTGTTAGATAACATTTATTAAATCGCGCTCCCTGATGTTCTGTTTACATAAAAAGTATTAATTCAGGGGAGATCTGATAAGGTTAAAATCCAATTGATAAAACGTACAAGTACAGGTAAAAACGGGGAATTTTCATCCCTGAAATCACCTAAAGCTGTACTTAAAATTTCTTTTCATAAAAAGAATAATGCAAAAATGAGTATAACTTCTTCTTCATCCTTAACCGTAAAGTTAGATGGGAGTTCCTAAAAACACAACTAAGTATTATGTGTGAATATAACATATTTGCTTCCACAACTTTTGCCCATCGAAGAACAAACTACAAGGCAGCAGTTGTTTTATTTTGGTTTTCTCTCCTAGATGGCTTGCTGTCCACATCTATCAAGCCTCATGGTCCCATTGTGTTTAACAATCTAATCATTGTTGGGGGGGGGGGGGGGGGAATTGATGTGGCTATAGTAATTTTTGAATGATCATTTCTTTAATTGCTTAGTTAAAAATTCCTAGTAAAGCATCTTGTCTAAACAATTGGAACTTTAAAAAAAATTAAAGTTTTAACCTTTAGATATACTGAAACAACAACTACCTAATTATAAAAACAACTGTACTATAGACCAACATAAATGTGAGTGGTGATGTGTTGGAATGTGTGGGATGTGGCACTTTTACCATTCTTGTTAACATGTGTGGGATGTGATACTCAACCATTCTTATTGTAATGTGATACTCTTACCTTTCTTGTTGGAACGTGTGGGTTGTGACACTATTACCATTTGTATTGGAATGTGTGGGATGTGTTGGATGTGACAATCTTTCCATTTGTATTGGAATGTGTGGGATGTGTTGGATGTGACACTCTTTCCATTTGTATTGGAATGTGTGGGATGTGTTGGATGTGACAATCTTTCCATTTGTATTGGAATGTGTGGGATGTGTTGGATGTGACAATCTTTCCATTTGTATTGGAATGTGTGGGATGTGTTGGATGTGACAATCTTACCATTTGTATTGGAATGTGTGGGATGTGTTGGATGTGACAATCTTACCATTTGTATTGGAATGTGTGGGATGTGTTGGATGTGACAATCTTACCATTTGTATTGGAATGTGTGGGATGTGTTGGATGTGACAATCTTACCATTTGTATTGGAATGTGTGGGATGTGTGGAATGTGTGGGATGTGTGGGATGTGTGGAATGTGTGGGATGTGTGGAATCTGTGGGATGTGACATGCTTACCATGCGTGTTGGAATGTGGTCCTCTCTAACCAAAGTCTCTGGTCTCTTGGGCAGCCTGACTGGCTTCTGCTGCTTGTTCTTCTGTCTCTTATTGTGGACCTTGATATCTTTCATGATGGTCGCCCTTCTTTGGTGATATCTGCAGGGGACAGAGGAGTTAGTTATATATAGTGCTGTCTTAATCAAATTTAGGTGGAAGAGTGTCTTAATCAAATTTAGGTGGAAGAGATCAGTTACATATTGATGTGATAATTTTATAAAATATTAAAGATAATCTTTTATAAAACACTTAAATTAAACAAACCAAATTAGACAATAAACATAAATTTTTGCCAAATTATTATTTTTTACATACAGAAAAATTGATGATGTTATAACTTGTATAAAAAAATTCAATTATTCAATTATTTACTCAGTAGAATTTGATAACAAAAATTAATTCCGCTGTTATTAATAGGAAATGGTAGCTAAACTCATACATGATACAATGAAAATGTTCAGGATAGGATCAAATAAAGTACTCCTACACCTTGATATACAGCAATTTTTATCAAACCCAGAAACCTTTTCTAGTTCCCTTGTTACAAAATACTTATTAAGTAATTTATTTTTTAAAAATTACTGCAAAAGCTGCCAATTGAAAAAAGGTGGAAAAAAACGATTGACGGAGTGTTATGTTTTAAAATTGGAAAACAGTAACCCTTTGTGTAAACATTTTGTTTGAAACACTTGCCATAGACCCAGAACTGTGGAAAGAGAGTCAATGCCTTGTGTAAATCAGGTGTAAATGTGGGTTGTCATAGACTCAAGGACACTGACGAGTCAATGCTTTGTGTAAATCAGGTGTAAATGTGGGTTGTCATAGACTCAAGGTCACTGGTGAGTCCACGCCTTGTGTAAATCAAGTGTAAATATGTGTTGTCAGATACAAAGATCAAAATCATGCTCTTGATCATATGGGGCTCTAGTGAGTGACAAAATCAATAACCAGATTCCTGCCCCCTCCACCGCCCCCTCTTCCCCAATCCTTTTTTAGCTGTTGAAAGCTATGCTTGATAGGTTAAGTAGGCATAGTATTATAGGAACTTAATGTCTGTGGGGGAAGTAATTCTGTGTGTTAGGGATGGAAAATAACTTGGTGTTTGTAAGTGGGGGAGGTAACTTGGTGTTTGTAGGTAGGGGAGGTAACTTGTTGCTTGTAGGTAGGGGAGGTAACTTGTTGCTTGTAGGTAGGGGAGGTAACTTGTTGCTTGTAGGTAGGGGAGGTAACTTGTAGTTGGGGATGTAACTTGTTGCTTGTAGGTAGGGGATGTAACTTGTTCTAGTAGGTAGGGGAGGTAACTTGTAGGTAGGGGATGTAACTTGTTGCTTGTAGGTAGGGGAGGTAACTTGTTGCTTGTAGGTAGGGGAGGTAACTTGTTGCTTGTAGGTAGGGGAAGTAACTTGTTGCTTGTAGGTAGGGGAGGTAACTTGTTGCTTGTAGGTAGGGGAAGTAACTTGTTGCTTGTAGGTAGGGGATGTAACTTGTTGCTTGTAGGTAAGGGATGTAACATGTTGCTTGTAGGTAGGGGATGTAACTTGTTGCTTGCAGGTAGGGGAGGTAACTTGTTCCTTGTAGGTAAGGGAGGTAAATTTGTTGCTTGTAGGTAGGGAAGGTAACTTGTTCCTTGAAAGTAAGGGAGGTAACTTGTTGCTTGTAGTGTAACAACGAGTTCAACTTTAACATAACTGAATACAACTTACAAGTGATAACTTACTTTCCATTATCAGTGGTGGGGGTGGAAGTGTAACTGGGTTGTACAAGGGGATGTAAAAATGGTATTTGTAGACCAAGGGATGTAACTCACTGTTTATTGGGCAGGGGTATGCGGTATCTGGCGCGGAACATGGCCAGCGAGTCATGGAGCTGCTTGAAGTGCTTGTACCTCCTGAAGATGACCCAGGTGAACTCGCCATGGAAGACTGTAATTTTGTACCTGTGGATGCAAACGTTTGCTTTAATAATTCCACAGAATGCAGGAACTAATCTAGTGTGACTCTTTTTTTGATGATTGTTGGTTTGTGTATATATAACAAGCGAGTAAACTCTGATGGTTTTAGATGTAGAAATATCAAAATATAGAAGACATAGAGTGTAGAAGATAAGGTAAGTAAAGATTCCTCTTTAGACCTAACCATCTATTCTCTGCGGATGAAGTGGAGTTCATAATATATTTCTTTGCCTCGGCCTATAAAGGGATAATGTGGACAGCACTATGCCCAGTCGCAGAAGATAAGGTGGTCAGTATAAAATAGTGAAAATTGTGAGGTATATTTTATAACATAAACAGAACGCTCGGGCAGCAGTCATTAGGGCTGCTAGCCTGAAAGTAATGTGTTCGGATCCCGGATGTCAGTTTGGGAGTCCACCCAGCTCTAATGGGTACCTGACCACACTATCCCTTTATATGCCAAAGTCACAAAAACATCTCATGTTGTATTAGATTGATGGGGACGACCATTATTCTTAGACACTTAAAACATGTTTGCAGGGAATACTTTTTTTTCTAAATTCTCACATTTTAAAAACAAAAACTTCATTTATATATATATATATATATATATATATATATATATATATATATATATATATATATATATATATATATATATATATATATATATATATATATATATATATATATATATATATATATATATATATATATATATATATATATATATATATATATATATATATATATATATATATATATATATATATATGTATGTATATATATATATATGTGTATATATATATATATATATATATATATATATATATATATATATATATATATATATGGCTATTTATATTTATTTATATACGTAAGTGAGTTCACACAATCTCACTGCTACATAGTAAAAACGTCTGTATCAGTAGTGGAACCCTGATATTAAATCCCAGAAGTAGTGTACTGGCAAAATAGTAAAAAAAAAAAGATGCACGTATCTAACTCGCATAACATCACTTCTGTGAGGAATCTGATCTCCTACAGAATTTTGCAGGTAAAAACAGTTTTATTTTTAACAAGGCAGGCAAAATGAAAATACGCTCAGGAAAAAAGAGGGCGGAAAAAAACAACAATCACGAAAGATCGATAGATATAAAATGACGATATTAAAAAAAAAATCCTGAAATTTAATATAAACGGCCTTGGTGCATAAAGTTCAGAAAGGAACTGATGTAAACGGGATGGGTAAAAATGGTATAACTGCCCCTTATCGGAATCTGCAGCCTAGTGATCTGACTTTAGAAAACATTTGGTTCAAAAGGATAACGCTCATGTTCATTCAGATATCTTCCACACCCGACCACACAGTGTTGAAACCTTGAACGATGAAGGAACTTGCCTTCTTAAGACAACTTGACGGGCGCGGCTCTATCATTAAACATGGACTTCAGGAAACATTCGGTTCAAAAGAATAACGCTCATGTTCATTCAGAAATCTTCCACACCCGACCACACAGAATTGAAACCTTGAACGATGAAGGAACTTGCCTTCTTAAGACAACTTGACGGGCGCGGCTCTATCATTAAACATGGACATGATAAACAAAAACAAACAATTTTTCAACACCCACCCAACACAGATGACAAGCTCACCCATCATCAAACACCCTCCCACTCATTACCAACATGCACTTGCACACTCATCCACCCATACCTACAGACCCACCCTTTCAACACGCACACATCCTGTAAACACTCTTCAACTCTTTCAACACTCAACCACCCTTTCAACACGCACACACCCGTTCAACACGCATACGCCCTTTCAACACGCACCCACATCTACACACCCACCCTTCCAACATGCACTCAAATCTATACACCCACCCTTTCAACACGCAAACACACCTACACACTAACCCTTTCAACACGCACACACTCGTTCAACGCGCACACGCCCTTTAAACACGCACCCACATTTACATACCAACCCTTTCAACACGCACACACATATATACACCCACCCTTTCAACACGCAAACACACAAACCCTTTCAACACGCACACACCCGTTCAACGCGCACACGCCCTTTCAACATGCACACAAATCCACACACCCACCCTTTCAACATGCACACAAATCTACACACCAACCCTTTCAACATGCACACAAATCTACACACCCACCCTTTCAACATGTACACAAATCTACACACCCACCCTTTCAACATGCACATAAATCTACACACCCACCCTTTCAACATGCACACAAATCTACACACCCACCCTTTCAACATGCACACAAATCTACACACCCACCCTTTCAACATGCACACAAATCTACACACCCACTCTTTCAACACGCAAACACACCTAAACACAAACCCTTTCAACACGCACACACCCGTTCAACGCGCACACGCCCTTTAAACACGCACCCACATTTACATACCCACCCTTTCAACACGCACACACATATATACACCCACCCTTTCAACACGCAAACACACAAACCCTTTCAACACGCACACACCCGTTCAACGCGCACACGCCCTTTCAACATGCACACAAATCCACACACCCACCCTTTCAACACGCACTCAAATCTACACACCCACCCTTTCAACACGCACACACCCGTTCAACACGCATACGCCCTTTCAACACGCACCCACATCTACACACCCACCCTTTCAACATGCACTAAAATCTACACACCCAACCCTTCATCATGCACACAAATCTACACACCCACCCTTTTAACATGCACTAAAATCTACACACCCACCCTTTCAACATGCACCCACATCTACACACCCACCCTTTCAACATGCACTAAAATCTACACACCCAACCCTTCATCATGCACACAAATCTACACACCCACCCTTTTAACATGCACTAAAATCTACACACCCACCCTTTCAACATGCACCCACATCTACACACCCACCCTTTCAACATGCACTCAAATCTACACACCCACCCTTTCAACACGCACACACCCGTTCAACACGCATACGCCCTTTCAACACGCACCCACATCTACACACCCACCCTTTCAACATGCACTAAAATCTACACACCCAACCCTTCATCATGCACACAAATCTACACACCCACCCTTTTAACATGCACTAAAATCTACACACCCACCCTTTCAACATGCACCCACATCTACACACCCACCCTTTCAACATGCACTAAAATCTACACACCCAACCCTTCATCATGCACACAAATCTACACACCCACCCTTTTAACATGCACTAAAATCTACACACCCACCCTTTCAACATGCACACACATCTACACACCCACCCTTTCAACATGCACACAAATCTACACACCCACTCTTTCAACACGCAAACACACCTAAACACAAACCCTTTCAACACGCACACACCCGTTCAACGCGCACACGCCCTTTAAACACGCACCCACATTTACATACCCACCCTTTCAACACGCACACACATATATACACCCACCCTTTCAACACGCAAACACACAAACCCTTTCAACACGCACACACCCGTTCAACGCGCACACGCCCTTTCAACATGCACACAAATCCACACACCCACCCTTTCAACACGCACTCAAATCTACACACCCACCCTTTCAACACGCACACACCCGTTCAACACGCATACGCCCTTTCAACACGCACCCACATCTACACACCCACCCTTTCAACATGCACTAAAATCTACACACCCAACCCTTCATCATGCACACAAATCTACACACCCACCCTTTTAACATGCACTAAAATCTACACACCCACCCTTTCAACATGCACCCACATCTACACACCCACCCTTTCAACATGCACTAAAATCTACACACCCAACCCTTCATCATGCACACAAATCTACACACCCACCCTTTTAACATGCACTAAAATCTACACACCCACCCTTTCAACATGCACACACATCTACACACCCACCCTTTCAAAACGCGAACCCACATCTACACACCCACACTTTCAACACGCACCCACATCTATACACCCACCCTTTCAACACGCAAACACATCTATACACCCAGCCTTTCAACACGCAAACACACCCACCCTTTCAACACGCACCCACATCTACAAACCCACCCCCACGCACCAAGCACCAGCCTCCCCCCTCCCATTACACCACAAAGAAATGTGAAACGTGACATCCCAAATTAAAACTGAATTTGGAGAAAACGCGACAAAAAAAATAATTATAGTTGGGCGGATGTGATTGGAAAATGAAGACGGATATGTCGTCAGGCTAAGAGCTAAATATAGATCTTGCACTGATATTAGTTTTCTAGGAGCTAAATATAGATCTTGCACTGATATTAGTTTTCTATGAGCTAAATATAGATCTTGCACTGATATTAGTTTTTTTTGGGAAAAAACAAAAATTCATAACATTTATAATAAAACATAGAAGTACTAATATTGTAAGCGACTGTAAATCGGGCCAATTTTCAGATGGTTAGTTTAATTATTATTTCGGCTTTTAATAAACATTAGGGTATGGGGAGGGGGAAGGTGGTGTGCGGGTCATCAATAAATGATGTCACGCTATTTTAGCTGATATTTCCCTACACCCTCTAGCGTCCTAAAATACAAGACTCCAGACCTAAGATGACGTCACAATACCCCACCTTTTCCCCCACACATGCGTTTAAATTAACCAGAATTCTAGAACATGTTTTAAAAAAAAAATATTTTTGTACTAAAAAAAGGCCATGTCACATTTCTTAGAATTGAGAAAGAAAAATGTCAATTCATTTAATTATGGCAACCAATTAAGTTAATCCATAGTTCTAAAGCTTTTTATTTAAAAAAAAAACTAAACTTTCTTTTTATCGTTTATGTTTTGTTTTAATTGTCAGAACTTAAAAGAAAAAAGTGTGTATACGTTTAATACAATAATATCTATAACTATTTTTTGTTAGAAATTGTCTAGACTATCACAACAGCTAGATCACAACTTCTCTGTTGATTGTTGGGTCATGTCAGTCTCTTCGTCTTTGTTCTTAATTTTAGTGTTGGAAGGGATCCCCTCCAACACAATTAAGTATACGTGTCAACTGGTTATGTGCCATTGAGGCACATAACCAGTTGACACGTATACTTGACTCCAATTTCAGCCTGCTTTGATTTTTGGATTTGCTTCCATAGCCTTTGGAAAACCAAGCACAAACTACAAGGCAGCAGTTGTTTGAGTAACGAGGGTTCGTACTCGAGACTTTTCGGTTTAGCAACCAAGGGCTTTACCAACTCGACCACACCGATCCCCGGTCATGTTAGTAACAACTAGATCTACAACTTTCAACAGCCTGTTGATTGTTGGGTCTATAAAAACGGTCATTGATGTAACAACTACAACTTTCAACAGCCTGTTGATTGTCGGGTCTATAAAAACGGTCATGCATGTAACAACTACAACTTTCAACAGCCTGTTGATTGTCGGGTCTATAAAAACGGTCATGCATGTAACAACTACAACTTTCAACAGCCTGTTGATTGTCGGGTCTATAAAAACGGTCATGCATGTAACAACTACAACTTTCAACAGCCTGTTGATTGTCAGGTCTATAAAAACGGTCATGCATGTAACAACTACAACTTTCAACAGCCTGTTGATTGTCGGGTCTATAAAAACGGTCATGCATGTAACAACTACAACTTTCAACAGCCTGTTGATTGTTGGGTCCATAAAACAGACTGGACGTAGCCTGACAACTAGCCGGGAAAACAACACGTCAATCACCGATTGATGTGACGTCATCTAATTAAACCAACGCACCCAGGTAAAGCTCACGTAGGCGAGGTTTTATCTGTACCTGTCAGGTCCTTGTCTAGGTGACAGGTCTTTTTTTGTTGAGGGGGGGGGGGGGGATACAATGAGAGGTTGTAAACAATGCGAGATAAGAACAAAAGGACACTGAATCACGTTAGTACTGACTTTATCTGGTGAGGTAAAGGTGACAAGTGTACTGGGGGTGGGGACACGATGTGTGTGTGTGTGTAGGAGGTGGGGTGTTGGCGATAAAATATTAACAAGATCGATATGACTAAGATGACGAAGATTGTAGAACAGATTAATCCCTGTCGAAGTGATGGGAGGGGTGCCGGTGTGGGGGGGGGGGGGGTCAAGTGGATAAATTACTTACTAACTTATATATATATATATATATATATATATATATATATATATATATATATATATATATATATATATACTAGGGTGACGAAGATTGTAGAGCAGAATATCTCTGTCCAGGTGACAAATACTTTAGTCATTGGAGGAGTGAGTCGATAGATTACTTACTAACAAGACGGATATGAATAGGGTGACGAAGATTGTAGAAAAAGTTTGTTCAGTCAAAGTGACACATATTTCAGGGGTTGGGGGGGGGGGGAGAAGGGGAATCGAGAGATTTTAAATAAAGGAAGGTAAGTAACACGTACGAGTTAAATGGTACAATGGCATGTATGTTGGTGATGGGGGAAGATGAAAGCGAGGCAATCTGAATAAAGAGAGACATGGAAAAACGTAAGGGTTGATGCTGGTGAACTAATGTCTTTTTTTTTAAAAGATCGAGTAGGGGGAGAAGTGGAAACCAAGACATTTGAAATTAAAGGGACATAAGACACGTGTAAGAATGTATTGGTGAAGTCTCATGTATTGGTTCGTCAACAGACTGCTTAGTTGGGGAAAATCCGGAGAGCACAAGCCAGGGGAGATAATACAGCGTAAAGGGAATGAATCAATTAATCACTAGCTTTATTATCCGATCATTGATAACGTTCTAGTATCCTATTTGTACAGGACGATTAGCACGTACATCATTGTTTACTTAAATGCCATTTAATTGCTGATCCATTATTTAGAAGTCTTATTTGGGTATCACGTTATCAGCTAAGTGTGATGGAAAGCAGATCCTGATTCCTGTTTGGAAATTTTTTAAACAGTTTGATATATTATATGTATATATATATATATATATATATATATATATATATATATATATATAACTTGGAGATTATCTCCCAAAATCATTGTAACAAATCTATAGAACTGATCTGCTTAGATGTAGCCTTCCCAACATGTATTTCGGAATATGCGGATTTCCACCAACCTCCACCCCCTTCCCCCACCCCACGTAAATTTGAATCAACCCAGCCATCCAGTCCGGAATAGCGGAATATGCATATTTCAATCCCCCCCCCCCCCCCCCCCCAGGGTATTTGACAAAAGTAATGATGGAATTCGCTGGGATTTTACGTTTTTATTTCTAGGTTAACTGTTAACATACTTTCACAATATGAAGCATATCTTGGCTGCAAAAAAATATATAATCATACTCTCGTTTTAATAACGATTTGAAGTAATATAGAGAGCATGTACATTATCTTTACAATAACGATATGAAGTAATATACACAATATACACTATCTTTACAATAACGATATGAATATACACAATATACACTATCTTTACGATAACTAAATGAATTAATATAGAAAACATACACTATCTTTACAATAACGATATGAATTAATACAGAAACCATATAGACTATCTTTTTTAAAACTGATCGCCAGCGAAACAGGCCAACACGATTTCGATAGAACTAAATTTAACCAAACTATCATTTTTTTCACTGATTACACCAAAGTTCAACCTAGTGACTTACTTAAACAGTTATAAAAAAACCACGTGACACGGGAAACGTGTCGTTTTCCCACCAACCACTTTAGTACCATTTGGCTGACTCCTCTCTGATAGGCTTCAGTCCAACTGTAAAAATGGCGTTCCAGATAGCTTTGGCACTGCTCTTTGTGGCATATGGAGGTACATATATTTTTAACATCTAATATCTATTAATCCATCATATCGTGGGTATCTAACTCACGTTAGGGAGAGTAAAGGCGGCTGGGCATAGTGCTGATCACACTATCCCTTCATATGTCGAGGTCATAGAAACAGGTGAACTCTACTTCACTTGTCACGTGGACCTTCAGGTTCGAAAAGGGAATTTTCAGCATAATCTTTTCCTGTTCGTGCCCAAGACACATGGGGCAGACGAAGTAGACTTCATCTGTTATAGTGACCTCGGTGTTTATTTTCTATAACGTGGGTTAGGTACCCATCAGAGCTGGGTGTACTCAGGGACGTTCTACTAAACTAAAACTCGAAACTTTCGGGTTAGCAGTCTAGCGCTATACAACTAGGCCACGCCGTCCCCATACTTACTACTCTAGTTACACCATAGCATAGGTACCATTCTACGTTTTGATTTTAAATTATTTATTTACTGTTGACAAACACGACAACGTGGCTCTAAACTTCCATATTTTATGTTTAAAACACGTGTATTCTGGCTCTACAGAACAGAGTGATTGGGTGATAGAATTTATGGCTACTAAAAGTCTTGAGTTCAGATCCCGGGATTGCGAGTCCGTACGACCTACTTGAGTCCAACAAGCTCTAATGGGTACTTGATTCTTAAAACACGTGTATTCTGGCTTTACGGAACAACGTGATTGGGTGATAGAACTTATCGCTACTAATCCGAAAGCCTCGAGTTCAGATCCCGGTTGCGAGTCCGCGACCTACCCGAGTCCACCTAGTTCTGATGAGCACCTAACTCACGTTTGAGAAAGTAAAGTCGGCTGGGCATAGTGCTGACCACGCTATCCCTTCAAATGCCGAGGAAATAGGTCATGGACCTATTGGACCGCCAGACTCAAAAGGGTGCATCACTCTTTAAAAAAAAATTCTTGCTGGGGTGTCGAAAGTTTTCTCTCAACATACCAGCTGATACCCGAGTGTATGTATATACAGTGTTTACAATTACTATACATTTAAACTGCAAACCTGTAATTCTAGTCAATTTGATAAAATGACTCCATAGTCTAATAGACATTTTGATGATGTGCTTTGAAAAGTACCAAGCTTGGCCAGCAAGTTGAGAATGGCCAGGTGTAGCCTATGTTTTAACCTATACCTTTTTACCCCACACATTGTTGATAGACCCAAAGGAGGGGTGTAGATTTTATAATCGCCATAGCAAGTAGGGACCTTTTTATAACTACGGATCAAAATTACACATATCCACTTTATAGTTTAGGAGGGAATACAAATTAAATAAAGATCGTTCGTCATTGCCTACTCTGCTATATTTTATTATCACACCAGTTGTATGCTTACAGACATTTATAGTAACACTACTAAAAATCACCAAATTTTCACCAAAATGCTTTACAACTTACAATTTTGAGTCAGTGTTGGAATGAGATTAAATAAAATAACAGACGCAAATAAAATAATCTCCACCCCGCCTCCATCCAAGAAAAGAGAGCCCGGAGAATAATCCGCCTAATTACTAGCACCGGGACACACACAAAAAAACATGACCGGCGGCCAGCATTGTCATGGAGCCAACGGAGGCGAGCCTTGGGTCAATGTAAAGGGTAATCAACAGCGCCAAGCCAGTCGGTAATGAATGGCTCCAGTAATAGATCATCATCACACGCCGGGGGAGCTGCCGTCATGCTTAGTGCTGGGAGGTGACTGATACTTGGGAACTTCTACACGGGTTGAAGTAGAACAATAAAAGTGATACGAGTTTATTTACGTAGGTTAGAAATAAGGGGACGGAGTGTCAATAAAATAAATTCAATAGATTTTTTAAAAACAGAGATTAGGTCTGATGTCTTTGCCCGCCTCTACCAGACAAGATTGCCAATATTGCATTTTTTTCTCTATTCCACAGAGGCCAGCTTTGACTTCACCCCCCCCCCCTACACACACAAAGGCCATCTTTAACGTCTACGCCCACCCCCGCCCCCCAATTGCCAATACTCCACTGTTCTCTATTCCACATAGGCCAGCTTTCATATCTACCCCCCCCCCCACATACAATAGCCAATATTCCACTGTTCTTTATTCCACAATTGCCAATACCCCACTGTTCTCTATTCCACAATTGCCAATACCCCACTGTTCTCTATTCCACAATTGCCAATACTCCACTGTTCTCTATTCCACAATTGCCAATACTCCACTGTTCTCTACTCCACAATTGCCAATACTCCACTGTTCTCTATTCCACAATTGCCAATACTCCACTGTTCTCTATTCTACAATTGCCAATACTCCACTGTTCTCTATTCCACAATTGCCAATACTCCACTGTTCTCTATTCCACAATTGCCAATACTCCACTGTTCTCTATTCCACAATTGCCAATACTCCACTGTTCTTTACTCTACTGTTCTCTATTTCACAATTGCCAATACTCCACTGTTCTCTACTCCACTGTTCTCTATTCCACAATTGCCAATACTCCACTGTTCTCTATTCCACAGAGGCCAGCTTCGACGTCTACGCCCAGCCCTCTCAGCTCAACCTCGGCCTGACGGAAAGCTCCATCGTCAACTGCACGTTTTTCAACAACGGCGCCACCAACCTCAACACCCTCCACACGCTGACCATCTCCAGGCTCAACTCCTTCAACCCCGCCTACGTCGACATCGTCACCATCGACAGCACCGACCCCGAGTACGCCAGGCTCCTGGTGTCAGAGAACGTCAAACCCAGCGGCCGGATCTACACAGAGGACGAGGATGATTCTTTCCTGAGCTTAAGATTCCGGTTCCCCATGGGAAACCAAGCCGGGACCTACAAGTGCATGGCTACGGGACTGGACGGTATCGGGAACAACATCGCCATCGAAGACTACGCCGTCGTGACGTCATCCGTGCCGACGAGCGACGCACTCTTGACCAAAATCAGCGAGCTGGACACGCGAGCTCAGCTAACAGAGGAGTTGCATCAGTCGGATCTGGACAGGCTCAACAGGAAGCTCACCATCATGAAGGACGTCCTCTTCAGCGATACCTTCGTCTACAACGGAAACTCCTACTACCTCTCCCGCGTCCACTTCAGCACCGATCAAGAAGCGACAGCTGCGTGCTCCGTCTTCGGCGGATACCTCGCCGAAATCGACGACCAAGCCGAGTTCAACGCCATAGCCGATTACTTCGTGAGAACCATAGGCACCAATCTGGCTGGGGGCGTGCAGGGCGTGGTCATATCCGGCACGGACGAGGTCAGGGAAGGCACGTGGTTGTACCAGTTCAGCGGGACGCAGCTGGCGTACACCAACTGGTTCGGGGACGAGCCCAACGACGGCAGACGCTACAACTGTCTGGCGCTGTGGAAGGCCAACAACTACAGGATGACAGACTTCCCCTGCCTCAACACGGACTACAACGCGCTCTACCTCTGTGAGACAGCTCACTAGATTATGTGTACACGTTGTCATGACGACGCACTTACCTCTCAGTAAATCTAAAGCCGTTGGTTGAATAACGATGAGCGTTAAAATGTTTCGAAAATAAAAATAAAACCGGCCAACGTTTTTTGCTGTTCCTATCCTTATCTTATCTGTCTGTTTAAACCATATCTTAGTTAATTATGTAGCTTCGTGTAAAAGACATTCATTCCTAAGGCTTTTGTTTTACTGTGTATCATTCTTTCCATGTCCTCAATGTCTTTCTTTGACTATCTTATTTCACAATATTTAGCATATCCCATCTAAATAAATCAGACATTTCATCAACGCATATTTGACGTATCCCATCCAGGTATATGTGACATATCCTATCCCCCAAATGTAACGTATACCATCCATCTATATGTGACGTATCCCATCCACCTACATTTGACGTATCCCATCCACCTACATTTGACGTATCCCATCCACCTATATGTGACGTCCCTGCCTCGCCCTATATAGAGTATCCAATCCAACACAGATTTGATCATTCCTTGATCGACAGAACCATACACCATCTAAAACCACCCTACCATTAGACATGTCGAGATGTATAAAACCTATTATTAACATGGCGTCGACCATGGCTCGTTATCTCTGTACAGTCGCTGGGCCCGTGCAGTGGAGCGACCCTGATGTCGATTTAACGCTTCACCTCACCGGGGCATCGATAGCCAAATGTCGTTACATAAAAAGTAAAGTTCCCTTTCAAACCTGACGGTCTATGGGGCAAGTGAAGTAGAGTTCACCTGTTTCTGTTATTTCCGCATTTGAAGAGATAGTGTGGTTAGCACTATGCCCAGGTACCCAACAGAGTTAGGATTCGAATTCGAGACTTACGGGTTAGCAGTCCAGCTCTCTACCGCTAGACCACTCCGTTCCCCAACTGTCGTTACTTGATCAGTTGCAAACTTTTTAACAGTCTTAAATTACACTAATGCAAACTTCATTCAATCGTTACATAGATCAGTTGCAAATTTTAAAGCATTGTTAAACAGACCACTAATCAACATAATACCATTGCTATAGATGGATCAGTTGCAAACTTTACAGCATTGTTAAACAGACCAATAACTAACTTAATAAAACTGTTACATGGATCAGTTGCAAACTTCATAGGATTGTTAAACAGACCAATAACAAAATTAACACCATTGTAACATGTATCAGATGCACATTTCATAAAAATGGTAAACAGAATAACTTCCACTTTAACATCATCTTTACAGAGATCCCGTTGAATCAGTTACCTCCGTAATTACCGTAAACTAAATCTACACATCAAATGAAAACGTCAACGATTAATCAAAGATCAAACCGAACTGTATTCCAATCTTCGTTTGATATGACTGACACAACTCATTTATAATCTCGGCCATTTTGGCTGTTCTTAAATTGGGTGTCCATTAAAAACATGAAATCGCTCAGAATTAAAGCCGTGGTTGGCCGTTGAGGCCAAACCTAATTGCAACGGTGATAGATGTTCACTTTTTAAATAGATTTATTTTTCTTTACTTGGACATGGGCACAAATGTGATTTATTGCCAGTTTAAATAAAACCAAGCTGAATGTATTCATGTTGAATGCAATCCCTGCACGATCAATTACCGTGCTTTGATTACATTTTTGGGGTCAATTATATTATGTTATCATGTTAAAGTTAGCATGAATTTTAATGGTATTTCACCATATCAAAATTTGAAAATTTGAACTAACTATTTCTAGAGTGTTTTCTGTAACAACAGCTAGCCAACTGACTCTATTAGAGTTAGTATAAGAAGTATCAATCATCAATATATATGGGAGTTCTTGAACCCTGAGACCCCCAGAAAAGGTTGTTTTTCCTCAAGATGGCCACCGTTGTCACTATAACCATTTTGTCAGAAGACTCACTGATCCATTCAATGGTTTTCCTTTACGTTTAAGTACCCTTACTTAAATAAACACCAATAAATAAATAAGGCTATTTACCCACCACGATAACTTCACATTGGCCCTAATATACCCACGACAATAATTTCACATTTGTTCTAATATACCCATCACAATAACTTCACATTTGTCCTAATATACCCACCACGATAACTTCACATTTGTCCTAATATACCCACTACCATAACTTCACGTTACGAAGTGTGCAATATACCCACCACCATAACTTCACGTTACGAAGTGTGCAATATACCCACCACCATAACTTCACGTTAGGAAGTGTGCAATATACCCACCACCATAACTTCACGTTACGAAGTGTGCAATATACCCACCACCATAACTTCACGTTAGGAAGTGTGCAATATACCCACCAATTAACGAGACAACAGACACAAGGTACTCACAGGTTAGGGTTAAGTAGGTTAACAGTTGGATGCCTGTCCTCCAGTTTGAGATCCACGTGGACAGGCACGCCAGGTAGCCAGCAGTGCTCACGCTGACCAGAGAAAGGCACGGCTGGCTTGAAGACATGGCTGTAGGGGATGACCTTGGTGCCAGTTATATCCGGGTCTGGTGGGGGAAACACATGGAGTCAACAATTTAACAACATGCTTTTCGTCTTATACAAGTACAAGTATTTTTTTTAAATATATTTCAGTAGCACGGATAGGAATAAGTTCATAGTTGCGGTAAATCTCAAGGCTTGAGATATGGTAGCAAAAACAAGAGAGAAAAAAAGATTTGATACGCGCATGTCGATAAGTCAACTACCTAAACATAAAAGTACAGTACCCTTTCGAACCTTAACGATCCTTGAGCAGGTGAAGTAGAGTTCACCTGTTTTCACCTGACTTGGAGGGATAGTGAGAGTCAGCACTATGCTCAACGCGGTATGTCTCGCCACCTTTAGTTTCCCTAACATGAGTCAGGTACCCATGAGCCCGGGATGCGAACTCGAGGCTTCGGGTTATTAACTATCTGGTTCGAAAGTTGAAACATAGCAGGTAGTGAACTAATGGTTTGTGAGTTGAAACATAAAAGAGCAGGCAGTGAACTATCTTATTCGTAAATTGGAACAACACAGCAGTTGATACACCATCGAGTTCGTAAATTGAAGCAACACATCAGGTAACGAACTAACATGGCGGATCGTTTCTCTACCAGTTATCCCATCAACCAGCATATTTGAAACACAGTGAACTCTTAAACTATCGCTTAACTAAAAGTTACGCCAGTTGTTTTTAAACAAAATGATGCGCCTCCCCGGGGAGAAAAAATATATAACAACCCCCACCCCCTTTCAGACTAATGTTAAACAGATAATGAAAAATAACATTGACAAGAAACAGAGTGACTCCAATATCCCAAAACTTAGATAATAAACGACGGAGGGAAGGAAGAAGTTATTAAATCTATTTTTTGTTCTTTTCCCCCCAACTATGTCAAGAAAATCAATAGAGAACAAAAGGAGACGGATGCTGTGGTAATACCGCTTTGAAAGATTTTTTTTTCCTTTTAAAATTTAATTAAATATAAATCGCGACGGGACTTAAAAACGTAATTACTTAATCATCGAGTTTTAATCATTATGAAATAATAGCATAAACAACTAACATAAAAACATTGCAAACACGATTAAGTCTCCTGCTAGGTATACTGCTAATATGATTACTGCTGGTTTTTTTTTTAACTCTTAAGAGACAACAAAAGAACTTCATTCAGCATTTGATAGAGTTAAGTCCATAATATGATTTTATTTGTGTTGCATCAGCTGTATTTATTTCTAACTTTTTTTTTTAAAAGTGTACAACGAGTTTAGTTCTCTTTTGGGTTGAATAGTAGAGCTTTTGGCTGCTAGCCCGAAAGTCTCGAGTTCGAGTATCAGTTTGGACTTGAGACTGTAGGATGTCCCAGAGTCCACCCAGCTCTGATGGGTACCTGACACGTCGGAAAAGGAAAGGTGGCTGCACTAGTGCTGACACTCTATACCTCCATAAGCGGAGGTTAAGAAACACATGAACTCTTCTTCAACTGCCCAATAGACCACTAACTCTAAAGAGGACCTTTATTTAGTTTTCTTATAAAGCCGAATGGGCAAACACTGTAAATGAACTATATGAGAGCAATGCTCAGTATCAGTGTTGCTCGGGTGATTTTCATGTTGGACTCTCGTGCATATCAAAGTGGTAGAGAAACAGGGAGTTGTACCGGCTCTGGTCTAATTATACCCACAGGATAATATGACATTGTATGGAGTTTTTTCTCTCGTTATTCTTTTAGCCTAAGGGTTTGCTTGTGTGATAGGGTCGGGGATATGGACAGTCTAGGTGCAAAACTAGGGTTGGGGGAATGCGTAGTGATAGAGTTAGGGCTAGGGACATGATTCGTCATAGATTCAGTGCTGGTTAGTGATAGTCAGGACAAGGGACATGACTAGTGATAGTAAGGACAAGGGGCATGATAAGTGATAGAGGGACATAAGTGATAGTAAGGACTAGGGGCATGATAAGTAATAGCTATGACAAGGAGGCATGATAAGCGATAGGGCTAGAGACATAATTAACGTTAGACCCCGGGCTAATGGCATGTCTATGCATAGCATCAAATCCGGGTTCTACATTGGGATTAGCGCCAAGGACATAGTTGGCGGTTCGACCCTGCCAGCTACCTTCTATTCTCCGCACAGACAACCTTGACAGACAACCTTGACACACAGGCCCTACCTGCACCTGTCAGACAACACAACCCTGTAGTGTAATTCAAAAAGACTGCCTGTGCCTGTCGACTAACACCCAGCCTCAACCGATTCACTGACAGCTTCATCCACCCACCGTCATCCTCGCTATAATCCCCCACACACTTCACCGAGCCTAGATCCCACAACATTCTAAACCAGGGGTCTCCAAACTACGGCCCGCGGGCCGCATCCGGCCCGCGATGTCCTCTCATCCGGCCCGCGGAGATCTTTTTGTCCACGGAAAAAACGTTTGTTGGTGATGGCTGAGGAACTTTGCCCAGAAAAATTAAAGACATGCCTTGAAGAAACTGGCCCCCGAACTGAAATTTGATAGTCAATGCGGCCCTCGGACTGAAAAGTTTGGAGACCCCTGTTCTAAACAACCAAACCGTGTTAACCGGCACACGTCACTCGTGGTTTTAACTGTTTCAACTTAAATACAACATAGAAAAAAAACATGGCTTATGTTGACTGAGCAATCAATACATTTAAATGATTTACATTCGTCTTATGTTTCTTGCTCCCATTAAAGGTAGCCTTTTTACAAAACACGGTCAATAAAAGGCCAGCTGGTAGGTTTACACGTGACTTCAGCTGTGTGTGATCACGAATCGATCCATCATCGATCTCTAGTAGGCTGATCACGTGTAGATACACATCCCATAAAACACATGTGTAGAGGTATACACACACACATACATATACATTTTATATATATATATATATATATATATATATATATATATATATATATATATATATATATATATATATATATATATATATATATATATATATATATATATATATATGTATATATATATATATATATATATATGTATATATATATATATATATATATATATATATATATATGTATGTATATATATATATGTATATATATATTTATTTTTTATTTATTTTTATTAATTTATTTATATATATACATACATACATGAAAATATACATCTTATAAAATAGGTGTGTAGATTTCTGTACAAGTGTAAGTTAGGGGTGATTAAGTTAGCCTGTTGCCCCTCCTGGGACATAGGCCGCTGACAAGAGCTTTCAATGCGTCTCTGTCATGGGCTAGTCTCTCCAACTGTCCCCACCCAGGTGTATCCAATGTTCTTGGTGTTTTCTTCCATAAAAGTGTGTAGATTTTCTATACACGGGTAAATACACATCCCATTAAATATGCATAGATTTCTATACACATGTAGATAAAACATCAAATAAAATTATGTCAAGGCTATTACACGTGTAGACCGTAACAATAGTGACCTACTCTGCTAGACAGACCTCATATAAGCAGCCCAACATTAAAACATTAGCGTTCAGTTCAGCACAACCGTGAGGCAACAATTATCTACCTTTCCACATGGTTAAACAGCCCCTATCACTGGGCTGCCCTCTGACACGATCGAAGACCATCACGTTATGCTAACTACAGCCTATCAGCATTCATCATTCCAAGATGTTCATTTCATTACACTCAAACAAGTTTCAGTAGTCCTAAGCACAGCATAATCTTTATATATATATATATATATATATATATATATATATATATATATATATATATATATATATATATATATATATATATATGCTTGATTCAATTAATCGTTAAAGAAAGAAAAATTAGTTAAGATTCCTATAGAAACAAGTGATCACAGGAGCTGTAGAAAATATTACATCAACTTAAGCCACGGCATCCAAGGGGACAGCCTGGACAGTGCCCAGCCGATAAATTTTCGCCCAGCAGGCATTGTATGGTTAACATATGATATTCCCAAGATGACTATATTTCATCCTATTCACGTCATACATCCGTTTGAGTTTAGAGCTATTTCAGCTTGTTAAACACATTTTAGATAGCTTTTCAGACCTAGCGGCATATATGATAGATTGTGCTATATAACACATGTATTGGCCTCTCTATATATCGGTATTATGAGATCAGTATTCTAGCAAGATACGCTTGTTTTCCCCGACTCAACCCAGGTGCCCACTGCAGCCAGTGTTTCGTTCTGACACTTTCTCTAGTGAGAAGGGGGTTCACGGGTTAAAGTTTAATTTTTTTCCCTGGGTTATCATGCGCTATACCGCCATCCCACGCAGTCACCTTTGTATTCATGATTGCCCAATAATCTCACACCCAAAAAAAAAAACAGACCAACACTTTAATTCGAACTCTTAGTACTAAAGCTATAATACACCAACCTTAGCACCACGAAATCAAACTGCGACGTGTAACGACGAGATAAAACACAATCAGCAATAAAAGCTCTCAGAGAATCATAACCTGGATCAGTGTGGCTTTCTCTAACCTTTACTTGGCTTAATATTTTACTCGGGAGATTTCTCTCGGGACTAGAAGTTTCCTACGTCAAGTGTAACGAGAGCAGAATGACGGGGACGTAACTCACTTGGCAATCGTAACTCGTACACATTTTTTTATTTGACGTTAACCAGCATGGAAGGTGGGGCTGTGTTACATCAGGAACTTGATATAATGTACGGTTATGTTACACCAGGAACTTGATATAAGGGACGGTTATGTTACATCAGGAACTTGATATAAGGGACGGTTATGTTACATCAGGAACTTGATATAATGTACGGTTATGTTACACCAGGAACTTGATATAAGGGACGGTTATGTTACATCAGGAACTTGATATAAGGGACGGTTATGTTACATCAGGAACTTGATATAAGGGACGGTATGTTACATCAGGAACTTGATATAAGGGACGGTTATGTTACATCAGGAACTTGATATAAGGGACGATTATGTTACATCAGGAACTTGATATAATGTACGGTT